AATTGTTGATCGTAGCCCAGCGCGAAGAACGGATATCATCTTGAGGCACAGCGCCAGGGAGGGATTGTGGCGTGGAAGTATCTGACGTATAATGGTGTTGTATCTGTAGCTGAACTCGCAGAGTCACTTTCTGGACCGTTGCTGTCACTAAGACGGGCTGATGCCTTATCACAGGAGGTGACCCAACAATCAGATCCGACAACATTGTGTGAATCTTCATCCGGTCGCACATCGCAAGCACCATCGAGGTTGAGAGGAGCCTGCCTTTATTAGCATCGTATACAGACAGGACAAGAGTTCAAACAAGGGACTCAAGCAAGGACTTACAGCACGAGTCTGGACATCTGGGCTATTGCGAGAAGCCGGCAACTCATAAACGCGAGCCACTGTTCGATAATCACCATGCTCGACGTGTTTCTCTGATCCGCCAATCGAATCCCTCAAGAACTCAGCTTCGGTCAAATAGGCAGGCTGAGCATTGATCGCCGTGAACGAATTCGATACACTCCGACGATCCAGACTTGCCATAATCGGCACGCGATTATCCATCAGCATCTCCAGACAATCCAAACAGTAGGACGGTGCATTTTCAGGCATAAATTTCCTGATGGCCTGCGTCCACAAAGGATCACCGCATTTCTCGCCGTCACGTCTGAAAGCCTGGACGCGGCCGCGACACAGAGAGATATCGGCTGCTAAGGTGACAGTTGCCCAGTGGATCAATGGCTCCAGGTTAACGATTGTCGGAACGACTGGTTGCGTGCCGGACTGCTTTTGACAGCCAGGCAGCTCACATGTGCTGTTGGACTTCTTGCGGTGGACGAAGATGTATTTTGCTATTATTGTTAGTACGTCACGGTGAGATAGCGTCTGAACGTACATTGTAGCAGGCCAACGATGAAAGTGAAGTGACTTGCAACCAAGAGCATCTTTTCCGTCATGGCATTGCTGTCTGATAGTTGCGGCGGATCATGTGACATATGCTGGATAATTGGACCGCACTTGTCCACTAGCATTGGCGTGTGCGCCTCTCCAGCGTACTTGTGCAGCCACAGTTGCGCTTGTAGTGTAGGCAGATGGTCGTGAGACACCTGCGCGATAGGCGTGATACGACCGTACTCATCCCTAACGAGATCATGCGGGAGGCGTCCTTGAATGAACGTGCGAAATGCATTGGCACTGGCTTCTCCAGGATCAGCAAAGGCTATGAACGCACTGCCAGTGTCATCCTGCATCCAATACAAGGCGTCGGCGTTGTCTTGCTGGTTGACATGTTTACGGCCTCGAAGATCCAGTTCCAGCCCAGAATCAGGCTCGTCGGGTGTGTCAGCGCCATGGTACTGAGCGGAGGCATTCTTCGAAAATAGGGAAGCTGGCAGACTGTGGGGTCCAAAGCACATGTTGGATGGCTAGTAGAGTTTTGCGGAAGTCAGCAGACCAAATGGCGAGTTGTCAGTATCCCAGAGGCAATTCGCGGATACAACAATGGAGCGCAGTGCCAATGAGGCACGCCGAAGTGTTTGATAGCTACACAGGTCACTATTGCGCCACTGTCATGCGTGAAGGGGGCCGTAGGTCAAGAGCCAGAGACGCGGTAGTTGAGCGCTGTAGTTGTTGCCGTTGAGTGCAGTGGGTCCAAGGCGGATAGGCATAATAGAAGCGAGCGTGCAGGCCGCGCCAAGACTTGCGCCTACGGCAAACAGATTGACATTGGAAAAGAGATTTTGTGCGTCGGGACGCTGTATTGCGGTATTGAGACAATGTTGCTTAGAGAGCTCCTACAAACACTGGCCTTGGTACAATGTATGGCATACGAGTCCTCCTCAAATCTTAATCATTAAGGTATGTAGATGATCAAGGATACGAGTAGAGAGAAGAAAATGTGGGCTGATGTGAATTCATATGGTCGAAGTGAAGGGGACACGATCTACGATGATTTTGGATAAGTCGGCAGTCAAATCGACTCAATCGGCATGTGAAGAGAAACTCGCCCTACCAGAGACAGTTGTTAGTCAGACTTCACATTAATTGGTATAGAGTTTGTTGGTGATGGTGAATACACGCGGACACTCACCGATCTGACATGTTCCTCGGTCGGTATTGTTCAGGAAGATGGTTCATCTCCCAACAAAATCGTCAATGGTAAGCAGTATACGTGCTTGAACGTTCATATATGCACGATTGGAGCCCAGACACATGGGAAACTAATATGTAAATGTCATAGATATCTTCGCTAGAATTCCGCTCCAGAAACGACGTGCTTTATAAATATTGTACTCACAGTGTACTTCACGAGTCCTCAATCGGAGCGACTTCAGCCCTCTCTTTGCCCTTTGCACTCGAACCCTCCGCAGGCTCCTCCACTGCAGAAGTCGGCTCTCCCTTCTTCTCATCTTGCTCTCTAGCCTCGTCCTCCCTCTTCTTCTGCTCCTCTTCGGCCTGTCTCTGTCTTTCTTCTTCAGCGGCCCTCTCCGCTCTGATTCTCTCTTCTTGTGCATGCACCATCCTCTCACCGATACCAGGCCACAGGCTCGCCACGAAGATCGCGAGTGAGCGCTCAACTGTGCGCACACTATCTCTAAGCCAGCCCACTCGCTGATCCTGCTGCTGTTGCAGCAATCTCCGTGCCGCTTCTTCAGGCGTCATGTTCCTTCCAGGTTGTGCGGGTCGTACAGGTTGCGCTGCGCGCTCGGCAAGGGCCCCAACAGGCAGAACGGCTTCAAGGTGCTGGCGAATGACTCGAAATTGCTCTTCAAACATGCCGAGTTGAGCTAGATACACTCCGCCGGCGATGAGACCAAGGAGGATGGACTTGTACCAGCCAGTACCAGAGAAAAAGTAGACGAAACAAGCGAGTTTGAAGAGAAGCCACAGATGGCCAGCGATATTGCCGACACGGTCATTATCGCCAGCAGGGTTAGGGGGCTGGTTGGCGTTCGCGTTCGCGTCCTGATTTGCTGCTTGGTTTTGTGGTTGTGCTTGAGCATGGTCCTGAACATGAGCTTGCTCTTGTCTCTGTCCTGCGGGTTGTGTTGGGGTTGGCTGTAGGTTAGCTAGCTGCGGTTGCGAGGTATTTGAGCTTTGTGCGTTCTGAGCATGTAGTTGAGAGCTTTGCGCCATGTGCTGTCCCAGTCCAGCTATAAGCTGTCTGTTTTGAGCAAACTGGTTCGTAAAGGTTTGAAAGGGTAGCGTCTGGACCATAGGGGCCGTCATATAGGTACCACGTTGATCGAAAAGCAGGCCAACTGGACCCTGGGGACTTGATAGGAGGAATAGCTCTTGTGGTGCTTCGGAGGGTAGGGTAGGCATGGCAGCACTGCCCGCAGCTTGAGAAGGAGGTGATGGTGCTGGTACTGCTGTCGTCAAGCCTCCTTGTGTGCCAGCGGAAACAGCCCCTTGCTGACCCATTGTCCTGCTAAGGTCTTCCAGATGTCCTCTTAGCTCAGTTGCAGACTGCCGAAGCGCCACTACGTCTGGATTGTTTGTCATGGAGGCATCGGCAGCAATCACGTGCAAGCCACGCTCGACCAGGTTGAGATTCTGTGCCATGGTCTGTACATGCAGGCGAATACGCTCGAGCCGCCATGCTGGAGGACTTGTCGATGAAAAGGGCGCCGACTGCGCGGTTTGCTGTCCAGAAGGTTGCAGCAACAACCTCACATTCTCCATCTCTTGCCTTGCGCTCTGCAAGATCACTCTCATGCGGGGCAGAAGGCGGTCTATGGCTTCAGTGGGTGCAGGAGAGCCAGTCGGGCGGGGTGGAAGTGCGAAGGTAGGTGGCATAAACGTCCGCGCGATCATTGGTTGCGGTGGCTGGTTGGGAATGGTCGTGCTGCTGTATGTGACGCTCCATCGCTCCCCGGTGGGTCCGATGCCTTCTTGCCGCACTGCTCTGCCATCGGCGGGGGCCGCGAAGCCTGGCAGCGGTGGCAGACCCATTGGCGGGGGTTGCGCTACATTCTCCGGGACAGGGTTGCGCTCACTCTGTGGCTGATCCTGCGTAGGAAGCGGCTGCCCATTGTTCAGCTGAGCATTCTGAGCCATGGCCAACGTTTGCGCGAGCTGTTGCTGGACGACAGGCGGAAGGGGAATCGGGAAGGCGTTTGGAGCCCCTGCCACGTGGGGGTGATGAAGGTGCGGGTGGTGATGGTGGTGATGCGGCTGGGGCGCGACTTGTGGTTGTGAAGCCGGTCGAGCCTGTGGTACTGCGCGGAACGGGTTGGTCTGCAGGGGACTGGCCGCTGCTGGTGCTTGCGCGGGTCGGAACGGATTGGGTGGCGCTGTCGAGGATCGTGGGCCAGGTGAAGATGAAGCGCTGCTAGAAGGCGGCAGCTCGCGGATCACCATATGGAGGCTCTGGTCTTTACTTTCATGTATCTGTTTGCTACCGTTAGCTACGTTATGCGGACAGTCACGGAACCTCGTACGTTCTCAGCCCCAAACACATTTCCCAGTGTGTCGGCGTCGTTTGCTACCACCCGGCCTCTATAGATCAAGCGCATGCGCTCTGGAGCCGGCTTAGAAGGCACCGCATCCTGTATCCGTCTCCGCAGCTCTTTGATCGTGGTAGTAGTGGGGAGATCTGTGAAGCTGACGCCGCCCTCTACTTCGGTCGACGGTGAAAGAATCTTCAGGTTAAGGGTCGAAGGTTCGTCCGCCATCTTGAATGTTCTCTACGATAGCCCAAGGAAATGCAAAGTGTTTTGGCGGTGGTGGTTGTCGAGCTGCGCCCGTGTTTGCATACGTTGCATTTAAGTCGCCGACTCAGCAATGGGGCAAGGACTCATCGATTCACTCGCGCCGCCACTTGTAAACTATGACTGTAGTCGCGAAGGAAGTCACATAAAGGCGAGTCGTAGCCTCACCGCACAATTGCTGCCGTCGATCGGAATAGTCCGAGATGTCTTCGCGCCTGTGACAGCGGGAAGCTTGATGAACGAACGCCGCGCGCTAAGGCCATCCTCTCTACGTCATTGGTTCACGAAGCAACTCTTTTCCCACGCGACGCCTCTCCATCATTATTCGCCGACAGAACATTCAAGATACAGTCCGATCCGTACATCTGGAATCGAGCAGCCTGACGACTCTCGAGCAATGCAATAGCCATGGCCTCTGCACCCTCCCGCCAGCTCATACGAGCGAACGTACGGCCGCAATGTCCACACCCAATTCTGTGTCGTGGGCGCATGACACCGCCTTCCCGCACATTCTCCTCCTCGCGCACCGCATTTGACCAGCAAAATTTCCACAGAAAAGAGTCGTTCCGGTCGCGGCTGAACTCGGCACTCAAAAAGACCAAAGTTGAGTGGAAGCCGATACCAATCGCCCTTGGTGTTGGCTTCCTCGGCGCATTCCAGCTGTATCGCATACAGCGGAGAGAAAAGCATACTGCAGGTGCGAACAAGGACCTTCCAGACGAGGTCCAAGTAGATCCCCAAGGGCGCCCGAAGAAGCGTGAGAGGATACGGCCGAGTGGACCATGGTCAGTGTGCGCCTCTCGCTGTCCATTGGCTGCATGCTAATGAGCGTCACAGGTCGGTACAGGTCATGTCCACCCTGCCACTCAAGGCCGTCTCGAGACTATGGGGCCGCTTCAACGAGATTGACATTCCATACTACCTACGAGTTCCTGGCTTCAAACTCTACTCGTGGATCTTTGGCGTCAAGTGAGTATCTCAAGTACGCAGTGACATGATGATGCTAACAAGACTAGCCTCTCCGAAGTATCTGAACCCGACCTGCACGTCTACCCCAACCTCGCCGCTTTCTTCTACCGCACCTTGAAACCTGGGGTACGCCCACTTGACCCCAACCCGAATGCCGTCCTCTCGCCCGCCGATGGCAAGGTCATCCAGTTTGGAACAATCGAGCATGGCGAGGTTGAGCAAGTCAAGGGTGTCACCTACAGCCTCGACGCTCTCTTGGGCTCCGTCCGCCCCACAAAGCCCTCCACAAACATCGTAGACTCTCAGGTCAAAACCTCAGATACACACGAGAAGAACGCCGAAGAGGATGTCGTACGCGCAGACGAGGAGTTCGCTCGAGTAAACGGCATATCGTATACCCTTCCTAATCTGTTTTCCGGACCTTGGCCAAAGGAGGGAAAGCCCACCGACATGCCCACCGACCAGTCGACAGCACCCAGGGCATCTTCCGAGGCCGAAGTGCGTGCTGACCTTGCTTTGAGTGAAGCCGAGCGGCCCTGGTGGGCACCCGCGTCGAACAAGACACCTACTGCCCTGTACTACTGCGTCATCTACCTCGCCCCTGGCGACTACCACCGCTTCCACTCGCCTGTATCATGGGTCGTTGAAAGCCGTCGCCACTTCGCAGGAGAGCTTTATAGCGTATCGCCCTTCCTCCAGCGCCGCATGCCGGGTCTGTTCACTTTGAATGAGCGCGTCGTCCTACTCGGTCGCTGGCGATGGGGTTTCTTCTCTTACACTCCCGTTGGCGCGACGAACGTTGGCTCCATCAAGATCAACTTCGATCGCGAGCTACGGACCAATTCCCTGACCACCGATACCGCGGCAGATCGCGCGGCTGAAGAAGCTGCGGCGCGTGGAGAGCCCTACTCTGGCTTCGCGGAAGCTTCATATACTAGCGCCAGCAGAGTGTTGGGCGGATACTCACTTAAGCGTGGTGAGGAGATGGGTGGCTTCCAGCTAGGCAGCACCATCGTCCTCGTCTTCGAGGCACCAAAGGGCATCCGACCAAGTCTCGACGAGGGCTACGCTGGCCATCGTAAAGGCGGGTTCAAGTGGAACATTGAACAAGGCTCGACAGTGAAGGTTGGTGAAGCTCTAGGCGCCGTCGAAGAGCCGCAGTAGTTGTATAGTTCAGCGTTGAAGAAGATACCATCTACTCATGTACATATATGCATACAAGATCTACCCTTGCCTATTGGTCGAAGCGATTTTATCCAAGCGAATGATACTGTTGCACAGCGTCCGTAGCATACATGAAAGGATGGAAAATGCAACACATTCTATTCTCCGCGAGTTCAGGATGGAGTTCTGGTTGCCCACTTAAATGTACGACCACACGGCTGCCAAGGGGGCAGGGGCAGTGATAGCGGTCATGGACTCACTGACCTCACTGCACTCCGTCGACTCGATCAACGCTCTTCCTTTCCTGTCTACTATACCAATTCATGCTTCTTGTCAGCCACGTTCACATTTTCATGTCAGATCCGCCATGGCTGTAGCGCGCCGCGCTACGAGATAGAAGGCTTAGATCAAGGAACCAACTCCGACGTCTCGCGCTCTAGCAATATGGTACACTTGCCTATGATCTAAAAGTGTAGTAAGCTAATTTTGACCTGTATGTAGAATAAAATTAACCACCTCCCTCCGCTCTACCAAGTCGAAAACAATTCCTCGTAAACAGACCTCTTCTTACTGTTATCGGACGTGGCACAACCAAGCATTAACACACTTCAATGAGAAGGAGTGGAAAGGTATGCTGACGTTATGCTAAGATTCACATTCGCTCCGAGCCTCATTTCGCAGGAGAATACTAAATCCCAATCGAGCACAGTCTGGGATCACATATTGATTTGCCCATCCATGGCACACAAAGACACACGAAGAGACGCTCTTCAGCCCACCAATGCATGTAAGATGGAGTTGCCGCATTTCACTACGTGGTGATACGGAAGAAGGTGTAGGTCTTACGAACATGCCGGTGGATGCATACATTCTCACTTTGGCGTGTTGGCCATCTCCATTTGACAGATCGAGTGGATTGGACTACTGCCTGAGCGCTGGTCATCCGTTTGGAGTCTTTCGAAGTGTGCAAGGACGGCACACTCCAGGATTCAACCGCGCCTTACAAGCGACTTTGGGAATCCATCAGGACTCAGAATCGACTGGTACAACACACCAACCTCGGCAATGGCAGGGCTAACTTCATCGCGGCTAGGCCGGGCCATCAAACTCGCAGCAATGGCAGCTCAGTTGTCCATCGTTCCTGCTTCAGTCCACGACTCGGAGGACGCCATATGTCTCTGTCGCTGTCTCTCTGTCGCTGTCAATCCCGAAGCGAAGTGTCTGAGAAGTGCGGCCAAGACGTGTTTGGCGAATTCGATAGCCGGCACTTGTCTGAATGGCATGGTATGTTGCAGATTTTTCATCCATGGCTGCCTGAATCGAAGGTTCTGACAGGTCAAAGATGCGGCGGTGATGTTGTCGGCTCCCCATTCCCCATCGACAATCCGGGATGCCACACCTCACTAAACCTCAAATGGACCTAGCGTATCGTTAGAAAGAACCATCGTCTCGTCCACATTGAGCTTCCTTCATGTCCATACTTGCTCTTGCTGCAGAGGGCCTGACATCTTCTGCGAGGCATAGCTTTGACATCATATAATGCCCGACCCAACGTCTGTCCATTGCCTGTTACGGCATCTACTCCCGCATCTCACACGCCACTCTGCATGCCAAAACTCCGCTCTCTGCACGACCGACATGTCTCTGACCGAACATGGCTGCTTAAACCTTTGGAACCCACCGTTATCTGCACTCCTCAAGGCTTGGCTGCCATCCGTTGAGCTTACACATAGATATTCACTGCGTGCTTGCACTCTTGACATCGCTACGACTAGCTGCATTCGCTGAGCCTATACGCGAATCGCCAAAGCCGGTGTCAGACTAGACCAATGAAAAGTCTTCGCCAATTGCTTAGGGCTGATATGCCTTGGTCACTTACCTTTTGACGACCACGCTGTCCTAGCTTACCTGCCGCTCGCGTGCCGCACTTCGTTTCGATGGCGGTCATGGCACTGTCACCCACACGGCGTTATTTTCCACGATGGGGCAAATACTAGTGGTGTCAGCCCTGTTGTCTCCACAATACGGACCTGATAGCGCCAGCGTGATTCAAGTGCATCGATCATCGACTTGAAGGCCTTTGTTAGTTTATAGGCTTGCCATGCCATGCTGAAGATATAATCATTCGTGTCACCCTCTTTCTGGAGGCCAAGTTACCTCCTGTCTTTCTTTTTAAGGCTGAGTTTCTCAGGCAATAGTCGCTTTTGGTTCATACAGGATCGCACCTGGAATGTGCCATAATTTCCTTCCGAGGAATTCATTTTCATAATGGTCTTCTCAGTAGCCAAGATAGCTACCCTGGCAGCCTTGCTATATCCACTCGCCGCACCACTCATCGTTCCGTCAACAGAGCTGCTTAGGCCAGCTGTGCCTTGGAAAGAATACGGTCTACCGAATCACGAGTACGTTCAGAAAAGGCAGGACGGATACCCTACCAGTGGACAGATCGATCATGGCCCGTCATCAAGAGGCCATTGGTATGGTGATTTCGACATCAATACCGACATGGACGAGAGTTGGCCAAACACAGGCAAAGTTGTAAAGGTAAGTTAACCCTTGCTCGTTCGAGTCTGTAACCAATAATCGCAGTATCATCTCGACATCACCAACGAGGTTTTGTCTCCGGATGGATTCCCAAAGCAGGTCATGGTTGTCAACGGTCAGGTACCCGGACCGGTAAGTCAACGGTCGACCAGCAACCTCATCCTAGTGCTGACTGTACCAGAGCATTGTTGCCGATTGGGGCGATATCCTCGAGATCTCAGTAACGAGTCACCTCACTACCAATGGAACTGGACTTCACTGGCATGGCATGAGGCAGTTGGGAACAAACCAGATGGACGGCGTGAACGGCCTCACTGAATGTCCCATCACGCCTGGAGAGACGAGGCTGTATCGCTTCCAGGCCACGCAATACGGTACCACTGTAAGTGCATGTTGAGATGGCTTGCGGACGTCGTGTCTAATTGCGGCAGTGGTATCACTCGCACTACTCAGTCCAGTATGGCGACGGGCTCTGGGGAACGATTGTCATTCATGGTCCATCAACAGCGAACTACGACATCGATCTTGGCACATACCCTATTACGGACTGGTTCCACCCGTCCATATTTACCGTCAACGCTGCGGCACTGCATGCAACTGGACCTCCGATTGCTGATAATATGCTAATTAACGGGTCCATGACCTCGTCGTCTGGAGGGAAGTACGCCGAAACTACCTTGACTCCTGGAAAGTCTCACTTACTCCGCCTGATTAACGTCGGCATCAACAACTGGGCGCACGTGGGACTTGATGGCCACAGATTCACCGTTGTGGCCGCTGACCTTGTTCCCCTTGTGCCATATGAGACTGATTCACTCAGCATCGCAGTCGGTAAGTGGGTTCGAAATCACGCGTTGCAGCCATCTCCCTGCAAGCCCACGAATATGCACAGTCGATCAATCTACCGTGTAACCTTACACTGACCCACCCGCCCAAAGGCCAACGATACGATGTCATCATCCACGCCAACGCCACCACCTCCAACTATTGGATGCGCGTAGGCACAGGCGGCGGTACATGCGATGGGCCCAACACAAACGCCGCCAACATCCGCAGTATCTTCCGATATGCAGGCGCCGCGTCAGGCGAGCCCAACTCGACTGCTGCAGCACCGTTGCCAACAGGCTGCTATGACGAATCCGTCACACCGTACGTCAAGACCACGGTGCCGCAGAAACTGCCCGAGGAGATGAAGGTCGGGTTCACCAACACAGCGGGAAGTGGCAATCTAGTGCAGTGGCTCGTCAACGACAGTCCCATGCTGATCGATCCCGCGTATCCAACGCTGCAGCACATCATCGATGGCAACGACACGTTCGATTCGCAGCGGAATGTGTTCAAGGTCGGCGAGAAGGATCAGGTACATACATCATCCTCGCATGCATGCATGACGACTGACGTCCTACACAGTGGCAATACTGGATCATTCAACAAGACGCCATCGTCGACGGACCCGCCGTTGCTCATCCCATTCACCTCCACGGCCATGACTTCTACATCCTTGATCAGGCTGCCAACACTGTCTGGTCTGGTGATGTTTCCCGGCTCAAAACTGATAATCCTATTCGTCGTGACACGGCTACTTTGCCGGCGGCAGGGTACCTTGTGCTTGCCTTTGAGTCAGACAATTCTGGCGTCTGGCTAATGCATTGTCATGTCCCATTTCACGTGTCTGCTGGACTCGGCGTACAGTTTATAGAACGCATGGATGAGATCAAAGATGGCAATGGTGGGTTGGTGGGTGTGGAGGAAGGGTGTAGGAATTGGAAGAGTTGGGAGAGAGATTTCGTGGGGGCGAAGAATGGGAGTATACTCATCGAGGGGGATAGTGGGTTGTAAAGTGTTGTGTTGTTGACATATTTGAAGTCGTTCCATTATATCCTGTTTCATTTTTGGTAGGATGCATACCTTTTTCTACTTCTGCAATGTGTGTATGTGTTCAATGGCACGGTACTCATAATAATCATGAGAGGATACGGATGTTGTGCTTTCGTTCGCTATCAAGTGCTATTCGAAGCTGGCATACCACTGTCTCAAGGCATTCATCGTTGGGGAATTCCTGAATGACCCTTCAGGTCCACCGAAACCATCAGACGTCGCGACATCTCCCGAACGATTCTTTAAGCCCACTGAATGCATCAGAGCGCAAGTATGAAGCCCAGTGAATTCTGCCATGACAGCCCTAGCAAGAGCTGTAATAGCAAAATTTCATCTTGCACGGCGTACAAGCCTTCGACTCTCCACTCGGGCACACATACATCTCCAACTGAATGTTGCGCTTGCAAAAGTCGCACTTGCCCTTTGCGGCCATCCTATCCCAGCCTAGTTCAATGTACACGCCCATGAGCTCAGCTTCGTGACCCATGCCGCCGAGATCCAGGAGTGCTTGCATGTGCTTCTCGCGGGCGTGGATGCGCGCCATGCTATTGCGCAGCGCAAGATTGTCGGTTTTGACCTTGGGAGTCTTGGTAGGGCGATTGGGTGTCGAGTCCGGGGTATCAGGATAAGGGCGCTTCTTGGGCGTCGTAGGATCTGGAGCTTGGAGGCGGAGCTTTTGCTCTGCGACTTCGCGTTGGCGGGCCTGGGCTTCTTGCATGACGCGGCGAGAGCGCTCGTCTGCTTCACGTTGGCGTTCTTCGCGGCGAAGCTTGGATGCTTGCTCTTGCTTTAGGCGCTCTTCGTCGACGGCTCGCTGTTTGTCCTTCTGTGCTTTCTGAGTGCTGTAAGAATTCTGACATTTGGCCTCTGCATCTGCAGCTTCTTTCTCATGATGTTGACGGAGTCGTTCAGCTGCTGCCGCTGCTTGCTGTTCTTGCGCTCTCAGCCTCTGTTGACGCTCTCGTTCCTGCGCGACTTGCCACTTCTCTCTCGTGGCCTCTTGGCGCTCTCGCTCTTTGCGTTCCATCTCAGCTTTCGCTCGCTCTTGCTGAAACTTCTGCTCTTGTTCTTTGACGCGCCTAGCTTCCTGTTCCTCGCGCATACGCTGCTCTTCCTCTCTCGCGCGGTGCTCTTCTGCTTGCTTCTGACGCAGTCGTGACTCCCTCATTTTTTCTTCCCTCCTCCATTTCGCCTCCTGAGCTTTGCGCGTTTGCTCTTCGTTATACTTTTGCTGCTCTTGCTCTTCCCTTTCTTGTCGCTCTTGTGCTCGTAGCTTTGACTTTTTCTCTTGGGCTTTTCGCTGCTCGTTTACCTTGTTCTCCGCCTGCCAGTCTGCTAGCTCTGTGTTATATTTGCACCATAGTTGAAAAACTTGAGGGTACGCGTAGTCGTAGGCTGCTCGCGCCACAGGGTCCTTCAAAATCTCATATGCTTCGTTAACCTAGTCTCGATGTCAGAGATACATACATCAGATTGCGAAGAACAAAGTGCTTGCCTTTCGAAACTGGAATGCATCCACTTGCTCCGCCGTTCCTCGCTTATCAGGGTGGTGAACTTTTGCAAGTCGCATATAGGCCAGTTTGACGTCCCGAGTCGTTGCGGTCCGGTCGAGCCCCAGGTCAAAGTAGTGATCTGCTACATTGGGTTCAACGGGTCTTGCCGGCCAAGACATGATGGCACCACTCCAAGACTTGCAGTTGAGTAAGGTAGTTGAATTTGTTCGTAAGCGAATCTTAAAAAAACTGGTAGGTGTTGGGCAGTGATCATGAAGTGAGCGGTGAGAGTGACAGTGAGCGGTGAGAGTGACAGTGAGATGAGAGACATGATGCAAACTGCAGTCTTCAAAACGGCTATTTCTGTTGTGATGATGCAAGATCATTTAGTCGGCTTTTGGATGCTCTCCAAACTGACTGCGATTGCCAATGTAAACGCCACGGCTCTGCAGCTCTGTCGCATACTCCATGACATGCTTCTCCCAATCCTCTAAGACTTCCTCTCCTGCACCACCAATGATCTTGTTGATCGTCTCTGCGAGTTGCATCGCATCTAATGCAGCCTGATTCGAACTCATACCAGTATGCGGACGAACGCCGGCCAATGCATCGCCGATGAGCAACACTCTGCCCGAGTCAAGATTGGCAGATGGGGATATCACATCCGTGATTGCCTGTATAAAAGGTACTTTGGTCTTCTCAACCAGCTCAGCGAACGCTGACGGCAATATCCTTTTGGCGAAGTCTTTCTGTTGGCTCCACACGTCGTCGCGCACACCACCGGCTGGCAGTGTTATGTGGTGCCTCTTTCCATCCTTGTCGGTCATGATGTTCCTATGTTCTGTTGATTCTTCCTTATAGTTCACGTACCAGACCCAGTTTAATAATCGCTTGCCTGGCTCAAGCGTTCCATGCTTCCCAGGAATGGCATAAGCCAAGATTTGGGTGTTCTGCGTATGAAAGAAAGTAATTCTTTCCACCAGCACCTTCTTGGCTTCTTCTGATACTTGATCTTCCGGAATCGTGCCGCGCCAGGCGACATAGCCAGCATACGTTCGCTTTATCTCAGGGTGGTATTTTGCTCGTATTGTTGAACTCGGCCCGTCTGCAGCGATGACCAGATCTGCCTCTGTGATCGACGTCTTCCCTGAAGAGTGCTTGATGGTGATCTGAACAGGTTCAGAGTAGTCCATATCGGAGGCTGTTGTCGAGGTCGGAATCTTGATGTCTGTTGCGGTACAGCCGTACTCGTATGACAAGGTACCTTCATTCTCCTGAGACTTCGGCACTTCCGCATACTCGCTCTTTACGCCATCACAATTTGCCCGCAAGAGATGGTACAGCAGATCCCAACTCGTCATTTGCTGCTCTCGATCCTCGCGATCTATGACCTCTCCCTCCTTGTTGAGATACTGTCGCCGGTGACTTGTGACAGTCAAAGGCGTTCGTGTATGGTCATATTTGCTGAAGAAATGCAATACATCAGAATTTGCGACAAGTCCGGCGCCTTGATCTTGAAGTAACGGAGTTTGGTTACGTTCGAGGATCCGGATGTTGAGATTCTGGCGGAGTCGTTTAAGCGCAACGCCCATGAATAGACCACCTAGACTCCCTCCCACTATGACGATATTCTGAGGCTTCGTTCGAGACATATTAATAGGGTATCGTGATCCAGGTCTTGTTTGCAGTACTTCACTTGTAGCTGAACTGCGAGGACTAGATTGATGGCATACTGCCTTTCTTATCGCTCATAGGGAACGCCTCACGATGACGATGTCATTGTTCGCATGATTGTTACAGGGGTTGCAAGTCAAAGGGCGGGAACGCGGAGGGCAAGTTGGCTTAAGTTACGTGATCATGACGCACGCATCACCATCCCCATAACGTGCCCGTGCGCGACGCGATCGGAGTTGCGTAACGATCACTAAATACTATATAGATTATTTTAAAAATAAGGCTATAATAATGCGTACGATAGCTATTATTATAAGATTTCTTAGTAGTTTAGTAAATAAGACTTTGCAATTATTTTATACTATTTAAATTTACTTAGAAGCTTAATATTATAGCTATATAATATTATCTAAAGTAGTAAAGAAGATAGAGTAAGTAGAACTTAAATACTACTTATAGTATCTCTAATGCATTTCTAATACTTCTTCTTAGAGAAGACTACTTATAAGGCTTTATACTTATCTCTTTAGAATAATTATATAGCTTTCTTAGCGTTATACTGCTATTTTTAATACTTATATTTAGCTTATTTCTTAGCTTTCTTCTTCTCTCTTATTACTTTAGCTTTTTTCTATGCTATATATCTTTTCTTAGCTTCTTATTTTTTAAGAAGCTTAGTAGACTTATAGAGCTTCTTAAGCTTTAATTTCTAGAGTTTCTTCTCTATCTTATCTTTCTTATAGCAGTGCTCTTATATATAAGCGTTCGTGTAACTTTTTAAGAAGACTATAATACTGCCTGCCTGCTATAGTACTTCTAGCTCTTCTATAGAGTAAGAGTATAGCTCTTTTTATACTTCTTTTTAGTAATAAGAGTATTCTATAAACTCTTGTTTTTATAGTATAGTAGCTTATTTTTAATATAGAGATAATAAAAATTAAGGTAAAGCTTTTAAGCTACTTCTTCTATATTATCTTTTACTATAAAATATAGTAAATACTTAGATTCTTACTAGCTATTTATATAATTATCTCTCTTATTTTCTTCTCTTTATAGTATTTACTTCTTAAATCTCTAGAGAATAATATTAGTATTAGCTAGTAAGATGCTTATTGCTTTAAAAGACTTAAGAATAGTCTTTTTCTTAAAGCTATTTACTTAGATATACTAAAATAGAAGAAAGAAGTTATCTTTTCTTATTAGTACTAGCTCTTAGCTATATTAAATATAATAAATAAGCTCTTATAAATAAGCGTTAGAGAGTAGCTAAAATATAACTATATTAAGTAGCTATAATATATAAGTTAAATAAGAGAGAAATATAAGTAATAAGATGCAATTATAGCTATAATACTTAATAAAATCTATAGTTACGTAGCTTCTATAGCTATCTAAAATAAGTAGTCTCTATAAGCGTTCTGCTTTCTTCTTAGTATACTAATTAAATACTTATTTAAGCTAGGCTATACTAATATTATTATTACTCTAACCTAATAGAGTTATAGTAATAAACACCTTATACTTACTAAAGTTAATATTCTTTACCTAGAATAATTATATTGCTCTAGAAGTAGCACTAAAAATAAGATCTAGAGATAATACTAAGCTATCTATATAGACTATTACTATAATAGTTATCTACTTATATAATCTATTCTAAGTAGCATAAATAACCTCTTTCTTCTTATATATGCGTCTACTAAATACTTATTTTGCTCTATTAATTACTCTAATTATAAACCTCTTTTTATCTATATTATATATATAACGTATTTCTATATTATATTAAGTAATCTTTAAGTATAGTAGCTTAAAGTAATAAGTATACTTTACTTTAGAATTAGCTATATAATATATGCAGTTTATAAGTTAGATCTATTAAGAGATAAGATAAATCTTATAGTAGTAGATAAAGCACGTAACTTAGCTCTTACTAACTCTTTTCTTAGCTATATATAAAGTAAAATTTTATATTATCTCTCTTATAGATAGAAGCTCTCTCTTTATTAAGTTTTTAATATATTATATAAGCTCTAACTCTTATTATAGAGTAAGCTTTTATTAGCTAGAGTTTTTAACTTTCTAAGGTAGCTAAAGACTCTTATATTAGTAAGATAAAGTAACTCTATAAATATTATACTAGCGCATAACTTTGCTATACGTAAAATTTTCTCTTAGTTTATGCAAATTAATTACTTTAATTGCAGCTTAAATTAGATCTATAGTTATAAAGTTATAGCGTATTAAAGTATAGTATTATTCTTATATTTTAATATTTAGTAATCGTTACGCAACTCTGATCGCGTCGCGCACGGGCACGTTACCCGTGCGCTGCAACAATTTGTGCTCCGTTTGCTTACCATTGAAGAACAATTGTCATTGTACGTACGGGTTTGAGTAGAATTAATAACTTACCGGCATGTGACGAAGTGCTGAAATCGCCTTCAAGTTGGACAGCTTGACTCGATTGCGTGCGCCCAACGCGTCGCAGCATGTCCCATCGGCTCACCGGAAAGTCTCGCAATTCTGCAGCGCGATTTTACTCGACACATCCTGCAAGCACACTGGACTTTCATGTGCCATGTCTAACCTTGCTTAAGAGCACATTCTGTCGAATGGGTCTGTATTTCTGACTGCAAGGACTGGACCAATTTTTCATTATAACGTACACTGTTGATAATATCCACTGTTGTGAGCATCCCTCGCACGAGAGATGGCCTGGGGTGTAGTCACGTGATTCGGACCGCTGAAGAACCAGCAACTCCATATAGGGGGCCTGCCTTATAGATCGAACAACAATACAAGCAATTAATACTCAATACTCAGTTACCGTACGATCGTACAGAACCCGCTACCTATACGCGATGTGCGATAGATAGCCCATTCAACATACACAATGTAACTACTGCATGCTTTGAAAGACGATTTGTGGAGAACCATTCCGCGAGCTGAACCGCAACAGAACCTTTGGCCGAAAAATTAGACATCCCGAGGAGCAGCAACAACGAGGACCTCATCGTGGACCACATAATGCTTCTCCTTCTCTTCAGCAAGCTCACCAGCGAACTTGCTGCGCTCTCTAATGGCCACGCCTTTGAAGTAGAAAATGTAGACCGGAACACAAAATAGCAACGCCAACCCAAACAGAACAAGATAGGAATTCTGGATGCCTAGCTTATGATACATCGGACCAGTGTAAAGCGCGCACATCCTGCCAGAAAAACTTCGCGCGAAACCATCTGCCTCCGGGTGGCTGACGCGTGCGGTACGGACCACTATGCGGCTACCATGTAGTCGACTGTCGCGTAGTATATGGCGAAATTGGCGATACCGACCAGGACTGATGGGACCACAACCCCGGCCCAGTGGAGAGGAGGGCCGGTGGCGACGAAGGCGCAGATTAAGAGACCGATGGGCAGTAGGATGACGTGATAGAGTAGTGCCTTGAGGCGAGCCTCGGGAGCAAGGGCTTCGCCTTTGGCACGACGGGCGTTATGGCGAGCGACGACTGGAAAGAACGCGAGGTAACCCATGATGTAAGAAGCGGCCAGTGCAACGAGAACTAGCGAGATTTGCGTTGGCGTAAAGTTCCACTGCTTGAACACATAACCGTAGCTCTCGAAGAAGCTGAAGATCAGTGCGTCAGCGAAGCCGCTCAGAAGAGAGAGGAAGAGCACAATGGGCTCAAATATGAGCATTTGGTAAGGACGGACCATCGTCGTCGCTATTTCCTTCAGGCTGAAACGCTCCCTAAGAGTCTTGACCTCGTTGGGGCCAAAGATGCTGGTGTTACCAGATTTGCGCTGTCTCTTCGCTTCGCGGTCAAGAAGGATAGTGGCGCGGCTTTCTTTAGCCACGACAAGGTGCAGGATTTGGGTCGCGCCACCTAGCGCGAGCTGGATCCAGAAGTCCCAATAGTAGCTGGGAAGGTATTGCTGGATAGGACCACCGGCGATGCCTCCGATAACGGCACCGAGACAGGAGAAGAGCGATGCCCATAAAACAGCACATTGTTGTTCCTAATTGGTTTTGGCTCATTCATAACCCCTCTGCAAGGTCAACTTACCTCTGGAAGAAACATGTCGGCGACCATGCCTATGGTAACGGATCCACCAGCTAAGGAAAGTCCGCCCATGACCCTGCCTCCGATGATGCCCTTGAAATTGGTAGCCAGGCCGCAGACCAAGATTGAGGCATTGGTCAGTCCGAGGGAAGCCTGCATGATTGGCCAGCGGCCGATCTCTTCGGACCACGGAGCCCAGAGTTCGCATCCTACGGCATATGAGATGAGGAAGGCAGTCATGCCCAATCGAGCGTCCAAGATGCCTAAGGTGAAGTTGATGTCTTCGACTGCATTGGAATAGACGGCGGCATTGAAGTTCATGCTGACTTGGCAGAAGGCCACGACGGTGAGGAGGATCCACTTCTTCTTTGTAGACCAAGCATATGCTGTGGGATGGCGAGATGTGTGTTCATTGAGCACGATCTTGGATGGCGAGGAGAATGAGGTGGACGACGTTTTCTCCGGAGAAGTTAAAGCAGCGGAAGACATTGTGATGCTGTTTACAATGTAGAAATGTGGTATGTAATGGTGAGTGAACCAATTCATTAATGAGACTTGTAAGAGAGTGTGCATGCTATTGAGTTCAAGATTTTAAACGACAGAGAGCGCCGCTTATATTTCATAGCATGCAAAAAATCATCATGGTGCTGTTAGCTTGATCTTGAACCATGGAATCGACTTTCGAAAATCTAAGGGTCCTGTATATCTTCGGACCAACTGCGCATGCCTATCTTTATCGAGTAACATACTGTGAAGACGTCCAGGGTATGGTTTGGTAAAGTCTGACTTGCACAGATACGTATGAAAATTTAGACGCGAAATATTCTAGGTGGCCATGCCCAAGTGCCTTAGCTGCTTTGGCACTGCGACACCTGCGATACTTGTGCTCTAACTAGGTACAAAAAGCCCTAATAGCAATATTTTAGGATGTATGAGCATCCAGTCTAGCACGGAAGGAGGGTTTGCACCTGTCCATCCATGAGACAACGACGCCATATCTTTGTCCTTACGATGTCCTCTGTCGCCACATCAGTTTAGGATACCAACAAGATTTCCTTATCAAGCATTTATCAAATTCAAACCTTGATCTCCTGGATCTGCTCTTCTCAGCATGTAGGTACCAATATTTCCTTCACTTCAGCTAGCTTTCACCAAGACTAGTCAAAGCCGATACGCAGATCACGGCAGATCGCGCTATTTCTGTTAGCACAAAATCGAAACCATGGAACATGTTTTGGGCAGCAAGCGCATTGAACTTGGGACACTCGACGCCAGAGTAGATTAAGGGGCCTTAATGAGCTAGCAGCAAACTGTGTAAGCATGCGGAGCGCATTGTCTGACCTGAAATGCGGTCACACATAGCCTTGGCCAACATCATCTTACTTCATCTCACGTTGCGGAGATCGTCGAGTACAGCTACCTGAGCTCTACATCCTCCTCTTCAGCCTAAAAGATTTCATCTTCTTATAAATATCTGCAAGCTCAAGACATTCCCCAAGTCAACCGCTAGTTTATTTCGTAGTAAAGTATCGACTTACATACGAGGTACCAGATTGATCGTATTCGACGCTGTGCATTATTCATGCGGTAGAACCTACTCCAAAGCTCCAGTGAAGAGTAATCTGCACTCGGGCCTTCCATTATTAGTGATCTCGCTATGAGCATTCACAGGGTAGTTTTGTCTATATAACCTTGTTATTCCGGTCTTCCGCAGTATCAGTATCACTGCTGATAGTTCGACTCTGAGCATGAGTGCTATGAAGCGGAAGGCCATACATGGTGGAAACGTCCCGGACGTTATGTCACAACCGCTTCAGAAGTTCAAATCCGGTGATGGGACACAAGCAGTGAGTCTTTCATACGATCCAACTGGCTGGATCGAGAATCACCAAATGGAAGATATGGACAACAGCAAACCAGACGCACAGATGAAACTTCAACGTAATCCGCGGAAGTTGCCAGCTGTATCACGCAGAGTCAAGGATGGTATTGCGAACGAACAAGTCTCCTTTATCATTATTACACGTGATAACGCTCAGCCTGATCCATACTGCCAAGTTTCTAGCACACATGGACCGCTTTCATGGCCAGCAGTTGCCGATGCCTACAATCGAAAGTTTCGCATTGGACAAAACCCGATCGGCTCTGCAGCCATGGAGAAACGTGCTAGACAGCATCGTGAAGCGTGGATGATGGCGCGGCCTGATTATCCTCAAAATATAGTCTATGCTAAGAAGACAACAGTGGCCAAGTCTGAGCGACATCGGGAGGTCAAACCGGAGCGCGTTCCTCACGTTACCAACCCATTTCCTAAGGAAGTTCGATCTACTAACGAAGCCCGCTCAAAAGCGCTGGATCCAATACGGGAACAAGACATGTACGCCTTCTCGAAAAATAAGGTCTCGGCGGCTGAGCCTAGCAGAGATGAGCACACTACTATAGAAGTATGCGATTTTTACGAGACAATCGTCGATGTTCTGCATGTTCGTACGCGAGACATTGTTAAAACATCAGTTCTCGCGGCCGAAGAACGAAAATCTGCTACTGGCATAGGTGTGACGCTTCAATCGCCTTCAGTGAAAGCTGTCGAGCGATATGTCAGCTGTATCTCCCCTAAACAACTGATCACCTTGCCAGTCTTTGATTTGAAACGAGGGCGACAGCGCGATACTACGATTGGCCCACGCATCGTGTGGGATTTCACTGCGTTTGCAGACCTGTACAATGTAGCCTCCGTCATGCAGGACTCCCACGTTCGTAATCTTGTTTTGAATCAATGGGCTTCAATGCAGAAGTGGGACATACAGCTCGAGATAGATGCACAGGCTCTTAACAGCTTGTTTGACAGCACTGAGCCCGATGATCCTGCTCGGGCTTTCTGGGCAACAGCAATATACTTTGCTGGCGCAGCGCATGAGATTCTTGAAAAGAACGAGTATCATTTGAGTCTGTTAGGTATGCTCAAGGAGCTTTCGGCTCTCTAGAAAGTTTGCACGATTCACATGTAATGTAGGTAGTTTCGGGTCCGTCCTTGTGACTTGCACAATTATACAGCCAATCATAGAGCAAATTGTCGTAACAACCATTGGAAGTATAAGAGTCTCCCTGTGACGGAGAATGAGCGCTAAGACTCACCTCACGCGGACCAGTGCGTCATCCGCGCAAAGCAAAAGTGAAAGTGCACGCGAGATGCATGGCAGCTGACGTAGGGCTCCTACTTCATGCCCAGGTGTGTAATTATATTCCGCGCTCGGTTTACAGCTCATCCAAATTTCTACATCTCTCTCCTGCCACTCACCCCGACTTTCAACTCGCCTCCCCTCGCGAACAGCACTCAAACTGCCGACTTGCGGAATACTCCCACCAAGCTCAGCGTACTTAATACCAATAGCCTCCCGAACTTATACACACACCAGTGTACCTCTGAACCCCTAGACGACAGCTAGACTTAACTCGGGATGACTGGCGCAAAGCGAAGCCACGCCGAGGTCGTCAAAGATGACAAGGCGATCTCTTCGTTGTACTCATCCTTGCCAGAAGGAAAACCATCGAAGAGGCAGCGGAAGGATATAGACATACCCGTTCAACCCACAACGGATAGTCCACCAGTGACAGCCAAGGCCGACACCAACATGGAAGAGGCACCCGATGACGCTGATGCGCAGCATGATGCCCCAGTGTTTATGAGTGTCACAGCTGCTCCAACTGATGTAGGGATCTCTTTGCCTGTGGTACGCGCAGATGATATGGCAAACAACCCACATACGCCAGCAGCTACCGATGTAGCAGCTCGAGCAGCGTATATCCTTGAAGTGGGTACTAGAAAGCTCAGCCTGACGCGCACTCCTCTTCAGACACCCAACTCAAGAGTCCGTCAACCAGTGCTTGAGTTATTATACAACCGCCTCTTCAATGAATGGTCGAATGCTGAATGCCGTACAGCATATAATGCTAGTGGAGGGGCAGCCGCGACAGACCAGGCTGTCAGCAAGCCGTTTCTTAAGTTCGCCTCTAAATGGTTTGAGGAGGAGGATGTCGTTCTACCCTGGGACGCTGGCGGCAGCAAAGAGCAGAAGCGACTGAAGGGCTTGGGCCTTGGACAGGAGAATTTTCCTCTCGTTGTTTCCGTTGCTGTTGTTCGTGCTACGCCTACTAGACCAGCTCCGCAGAATCGTCCCAAACCAAAGAAAGAAGTGATGACGATGCAGACTGCTGCTAATGAATCGTTAGAAGTTGAAGAAGATGAACAAGAGGACCACGTTGCTGACTCGCATGAGGAAGGTGAGGGGGGATATGGGAATGGACGACAATGAACTGAATGCCCAGCAAGGCCTTGCCGACAATCTGGAAGCTCAACTCCGGCAATCTTTAGCAGAGGATGAGCGCAAAGCTGCCGAAGAAGATCACGAGGCACGATTGAGCGCGACTATCCTCCCTGGCCATATGCTCGATCGCGTTCGAGCGGCAGTCAACATCTTTAGCGAAGAATTAGCCATATTGGATTCATCAGCCAGTGGGCAGTCCGTAACACTCGTTCGAGCCGCCTTGTTGGAACACTGTGGTGCACCTCATGATCAATACGTGTTGAAGAATGGGTATCGCCAGGCGCGCCCGCAGGCATTGCGAGCATTGGCCAATGCGATCTCACCTTGGCCGCGGAATGGCTTGCCTACCCACGACTTCGACTTTCAGGAGAAGACGCTTGATCAGGGCGTCAACAGCCCAGACGTCCTCGGAGTGATGAATCAGGAGGAAGTCCAGACAACGAAGATCGACTGGGATATGGACTCCATGGTCGAACTGTACCAACTCTGTGCCGCGATGGAATCCTCCATCGTGAAAGACATGATTGCAAACGAGATGCGAGATCTCTATCAGGCACATGTTAGCCAAGGCACGGTAACAGAGTTCATTCCACCAGTGGACTTCATGAACACGCTCACCCATAAAGATAACCAGCCCTTCCTCCGTCTGCTAGTTGACATTGTGATCGAGCAGAACATAAAACATGGCATAGTCTACCCAGAATGTATGCACGCGCACGTCACCGAGCTGCGAGATCAGCGCAAAGTAGGGGGATATAATATCTTGCATGACTACACCACACGGGCGAAGCTTTGCGCATATCACGTCCACGGCACCGTAAAGAAATGCTACAAGCTGCAAACCTACTTAAACGAGTCGGAGACAAAAATCGTTCTCAAAAACAAGCTGCAGCCATCGGTAGCACCCTCTTCGACGCCTTGAGAGCCAAAACAGAGGCCAATCACATGCGCGGTATCATCACCCGAGACGGTAAACTCGCGCAGCAAGGCCGTCGAAATGCCTTGGTCATGATGTCGCAACGCGAAGAAGAGAAGACTGCGTTTGCACTGTTAAGGTTCGAGCAATTGCTGAGAGTCATTGATAAGTGCCATGTTGAAGGACAGATGTTTGAGCAGCCGAAGCACAAGGTTGCACAAAGAAAGTTGCTGAGCATCATCGAGAAGGCACAGTGGGAGCATCGCAATGACTGGGCATACTTTGCCAAGTTTTGCGATATGGAGGACGAGTGGAGGAGTAGCTGGTTCGGTATCTAGCTCGGCGAAGCTACAAGATAGGAGGAAGACTGGGAAAGTAGGCTTGGACAGAGTCCCCCGAGGAGTAGCGGAATGTCACTAAATTCGCAACAGCGCCTGGTTTTCGAACTTGAATCGTTTCCAAAAGACTGAAATCTATCATATCCTTGGAGTGTCGCGTTTCTTACCCTAGACATCATGTTCGTGTCTCTGCATGCTCAAGCTCAAGCTCAAGCTCAACGCCCTTTGTAACTCCTCATCATCTAAGTCTTCTGACGCCAACGCACGGCCTTTTCCCTTACTATGATGATGTGCTTCCAAGAGGCTTTGCTTCTTGACATATTCCATCACAACCTCTTCTTCCGTCTTCTCGTGTGTCGTCTTCTCACCCTGATGTTGCGCCTCAAATGCGCTTTGTGTAATGCCCTGAACATGTTTACCGACATATAAAGGTAGTGAACCACCATTTGTAGTAGTATTAATATTACTGTATTCCGCATGCGCTTGCCATTCGCTGGAGTTGCGCGTCTGTCTTTTTTCATTCAGACTCTGCGCGATGACAAGTTTCAGCTGTTTCTCAAACTCCAACGCCTCGCTTGCTTGTCTTTCAGCGTCGGCTTCACTGCGATTCATCGTCTGGCGTAATACTTCGTAATCAATAGCTTCTTGGCGATTGTGCTGCGACTGGGAGACGCTCTCCCGGATTGCTCGCTCTGCTTCAGTATCGTCCTGGATGTCTCCGCGCCTAGTTTCCTGGACCGACAGTCGAATAGCTGCGCTCATATCATTCTCTTCCTGCAGCTCCTCAGTGGTGCTGTTGGCCTGGGTCACTTCATCCGTACCGTTCGTAGACTGGGCGACACTCGTTTTCCTTCCACCATTTCGACCTTCCTCTGCATTCTCCGGTTTACTCTTACGCTGTGCCTCCAAGACATCTCGCACTATATCATCAGTCTTTCTCTTCTTTAGGTATTTCTGAATCAGCTTCCATCGAACAACGACATCCTGTTTCTCAGCCTCGGAGCTCTGGAGCCACTCCTCGTGTCCCTGGGCTACCCTCGACGCCGCGATATGGTTCTCAACATTACCGACATACATCTTCTGCAACTCTTTGTGTACGCCCTTCATCGAGTGACCGAGAATGCCGACGACGGCAGCACCTGGCTTGGCTATGAATCCTGCAAGCCCTTTTCCCATTCCTTTGACAAAGCCACTAGCCCCATCCTTTTGTGCACCTTTCCAGGGTTGTGTGACCAGACCAGTAACGCCATCGTACCATCCAAAGGCAAATTCTCTTCCGAGGGCATTCATGCCCGTCTTGAAATCGCTGACGCGCTCCTGAGGGCGTACGGTGTCGTCTCCCCAAAGCTTAGGAGCGTTGTGAAAGCCTTTGGTGAAGCTCACTGATAGCTCCATAGGTGACTGTATAAGTGCTTTTGTGAAACGACCGATCCCTTTGTTTGCGTGTGCTCCGGACTGGCGTTGCGAAACACCAATCTTGATTGAGCTGGTATTGTTCCGGCTAGGCTTTGGCATCTCGTTCAGGCCATCCTCTCTGATGGTCGACTGTCCTTGCGATGCATCGGACTTCGAGTTTGAACTGACTTTCGAAGTGGACTGGTTTAAATTACCTGCAACAGTATCTTGAACGTCCAAGCTTGTTTTACTTTGTCCTACTGAAGTGGGCGGACTAACCGGGATATTTATAAGTGAGCTGTTCATTTCGTTTGCACTTGAGCCTGAAGCTTCAGACCGCTTTCGGCTGACCCCAGGGCGAACGCGCAAAGCTTTGAACGTTTCAGTAGGCAACTCAGCTATGCCCACTCCCATATTGCTAGCTGCTCTACAAGCTGTCGTGAAACCTCCAGAAACTGGATCGTGAGGGCCTTCGTCAGTGTTGTATTCTTGTGCCCTGAAGAGCTTGACATCATCGAAATCGAGGATACCTACATTCGCCAACGTATAAGCAGCAAAAGCGCTCAAACGTATACTTGTACGCTTTACGCGCCAAGCGGCTACTCGAAAAGGTGCAATGGTACAGCGCAATCGGTCGGCTTCGAGATGTTGATGAAATAACTCAGCGCCCTTGTCACTGCCTCTCTCCGCGGTTATTTTGTCTGCGAGAGTCCTAGCGCGCTGCAAGCTTTCAGGTTTCAGACAGAAGTTGATGGCATCAGCGAGATTGTCTGCTGTCAGCTGTTTGTGTGGGATCGAATCAGGACCTGCACCTGCGCGGGCAACCATGGCGCCCCAAAAGGGCTGGTCCCCAAAGAATGGAACAACTACAGTCGGTCGGCCTACAAAGGAGGGTGATATCAGCAGTCGTATCTAATGAACGGGTATGTGGGGTGGATTACCTGCAGTAATACCTGCTGCGGTTGTGCCCGCGCCGCCATGGTGAACGACGCATGAGACCTGCTTAAACAGCCAGTCATGCGGCACATTCCCTAGCATAAATACGCTATCAGGAACATGGAGCTCGTCTGCACCCATGCCTCCCCACCCTTTCGATAGAAGAACACGCTGGCCAGTCTTCTTCACGGCCTCAAAGATGAGCTCCGTCATTGCGTTTGGATCGTCTAGCACGATGCTTCCAAAACCTATGTAGACGGGAGGTGCACCAGCGTCAAGAAATGCTTGAAGGCTGACATCCGGAGTATAGCCAGATGCCAAGTTGAGGAAGTAGAAACCAGCGATAGATATGCGAGGGCCCCAGTCCTTTGGTTTCGGGATCAGGGCGGGAGACCAGCAGTAGGTGTGAGGAACTTCAAGACGCTGGAGCATACCAGGAGCCCATAGCACACTTACAGGATCCAGACTAAGACATTTGGCACGAAACTGGTTGATAATGTCGCCAAGGCCTTGCCAGGATAGAAGCTCGATCAAAGCATAGCTTATGTAATTAGTGAGTTGACGGTCAGCATTGGAAGACTGGATATTGGCCAGCGGATGAGCAAAAGCCTGCGTAGGAGAATATGGCATGGTGAACATGATGTGGAGAGGTATGCCGAGCTTTTCTGCGCAATGGATATGCGCAAAACTTGGAGGGTTGGCGATGATGCAATCGGCAACAAAAGGCCTCGTTCCAGACCTTAAGCCGGACTCATTTTCAGTCGGGCCCGAAAGGTCATCAGCGTCCAAGCCGTTGCCAGATTCGTAGCAAGATCGCCAGCAGCCTTCAATATACTCTGCAACATCTTGTCTTCGTCTAGCAACATCTCCGCTTAGCAGACTGCGAAAGCCTGGCATTAACGCAGGGTTCTTGACCATAAAAGCCATGAGCTTCGATGGATCGCCGCCGATGCTGAAGAATTCGAGGCCATTCTCCTGCACGAAGCTGTCGAAGCAGGGGTGAGTTGCTAGACGTACCCGATGACCATAGGTCTCTTTTAGGACTTTCCCCAACGCGATGAAAGGTTGAACATCTCCGCGCGAGCCCACAACTTGGATGACAACATTCAGACATGGGGGTAGAGAAGCTCCCTCTGCGCTTGCCAGCGAAGAAGAAACGTTGGTTGAGCGAGGCAGATCGTCTTCGACCCGTTGAGTTTGTTGATGTAAAGTAGTACTGAAAACCTGAGACAAACGGCGATTCAGTTGGTTGACGCGAATATTGACACGCCCGTCGTCCGTGACGTTGGCACTCGTGCCTATTCCGTCCTTTTCGCTCCGGATTTCGCCATAGATATCACCGTAGGCAGGAGGGGGGACTTCGTCTTCGATCTCAGAAGTGACGCGATCGTTGTCGTGGAAAGGAGATGTATTTCCCAAAGGCTCTGCAGTATTGTTCTGAGTAACAGCGGAAGCGACAGCTTGTGCTTGCTCAGGGGTGGACCGCCGTACAACCGTGTCTCGAGCAAGACTTCCCTCCTCTTGGGTCGACTGAGTGGCCATGACAGGGAAAAACAGAAAACCTTCTTATTGGTTCAGCGAGTTACCATATCAGCAAAATATTGTAGAGGGGAGACAAAATCGAGTGTAGTGTGTGCGAACATAGCTCATCGTTCAAGACAATGCTGCCGGCCTTAGATGTCTTACATAGGAGATGAAGTAAGTCTGCCAACGCCAGGCAATGATACGCCTCGAAACATACCAGGGCAGTGGATAAATTCGATTGGCTAGGAATTCTTCCGTCTGGCAGCATCCTTCGCGCGGCTGGTTGCCTGAAGACATCCTGCCACAACAAGACCGCTATATCTCTACGCAGGAGAATGTGGAATTGTGCATATGGGTAAAAACTGCTACAGGTTCATTGGAAAACAACGATTTCCTTGCGTCACTCGCGTCGGTCTGGGAAGTGCTTGCGAGGATGCTCCACGCCAGAGTGACATGATGCGCCCAAGAAGGCTAGGCTTGCGACCTTATGTAAGATTTTAGCTAGTCTCTGAAGTGAGGTGCGAAAGATTTATGTTAACTTATCACTTTAAAATGTTGAGGACACAGGGCCATATGCTTGTTTCGCTTTTTTGAAGAACAAAGCTATTTTTTGGTGACAAAGCGTCGCCTTCATCAGTTGTGTACAGTCACGATTCGATCATTGTCAGAATCGGCTGAGGTGAATTGTGTGGAGATAGAGTTAGAAGATTACTGTACAGTATTTAAACGTCTTGACGATGAAAGCTCAAGGCAAAGGAAAACGCTTGGAGAGACTGGCGAAGGAAAAGGCACTCGTCCGAGAAGATGCACTGCTCTGCGTTGGCGTCAAGAGACCGCTCTCATGTCGAGAACATGCGCCTGAGTCGTTACTCAGTCGGTCGAGATAGCCAGACACATCCGCCTTGAAAGCGTGTAAGTTGGTGGATAAGCGCGCTGCAACATCTGCAATAGCGTCCACCCGGGCGAACACTGCTTCCTGCGCAAGACCATACCGCTGGATGTCTGGATCATTTCGAACGCTGTGGCAAACTTCCTGGTACACAACAAGTTGGTCATTGGCTCCATCCAGCAAGGAATCGAGAGTCTCGGGAAAGTAGAACGTACGGGATCGCGGATCTGTGAGGTCCTTGATGACATTCTGATACACGCCCAGAATACCTGTGATTTGATCGTAGAAGCGACCCAGTGGCGTAAGCTCGCTAACAAGGGTGGATAATAGCTTGTCGTTGAAGTCCCGCTGGCTGTAAAACATCGCAGACTTGGCATTCGCTACCTCTGCAGCCGATTGAGTCTGCTGTTCGAGAGTATCGATGATGGAACCCAGTGTGTCTTCCACCTGCTCGGAATGCTCGTCGACTTGCACTGCATCGGCCTCAAGCTTGTTGGCATAGTTGCGGAGAGCAGTAGCAGTATCTTCTTTTTCCTCGATGAGCTTCAATGTCTCATCGTGTTCGGTCTCGTACTGGTCTGCCAACCGACGATTCTCTTCCAAAAGTTTGAAAGCCATAGCCTCGTAATCTTTCGCTTGGCTCTCAAGGCGTGAGATCTTGCGGGCATCGTCATCGGCTACGGATTGCAGCCTTACAGCCTCGGCCAGTTTGCGCTCAAAGCTGTTCGCACGACGCTCCTCATGCTCTAGCATGTCTTTCCAGTAGTCCACGTGGCGTCCAGCTTGCTGAAGGTCGACTTTGAGAGCCTTGAACTCGGTGGGCTGGTCATCAACCTCAGCCTGCTTTGCCTGAAGCTGGACCTGGAGATCCACGTTGGCCGCCTGCAAATCCTTTTGTCTAGCCTCCATATCCGTGATGTATGCGCGTGCCTCGGCCAAGGCTGTCATTTCCTGGAAATGATCCTGCATTTCTTCAGGCATGGCATCTTCAAACTTGAAGCCCTGGGTTTTGATTGAGTCCATGAGAACGGAGAGCTGGCGTTTGATATCACCGAGGCTGGCCATTGCTGTGCTTTTGTGGTGGCTTGTGGGATCTGGTGAAAGGGCGATCTGGTGATTGGGAGGCAAAGTTTCCGTGTTCGCAGTAGAGAAAATATAACGAAAGCAAATAAGACACTGTTCGGACATTGTGCGTTGACGATATCGCAGAGGTGCAGGGCGCACTGTTGTGATAGCGAGAGCTGCGCATACAATGTCATTGTTGCAACATCACAGCCTCAAGACTTTCAGGTTTGCTGATGGTTGGTTTGGCTCGGTCTCGGATCGTTTGCAGTGGTCCGCCGGTCTCGGTGCCATAGTCTACGGTAGCAACCTAAGTCATGCCTCAAGAGCGCGCGAATGACTTGCAGGTGACTGGTTTGATAGAAGAAACGACATACTGGCTGTTTTTTTTTTCGTGGCAGTGGCAACTGTCGTATCTCGTTTTCGACTGCGGTCATGCGCATGCGCCGGTGGAAGTCTGTCGATGCCGTATGCCCGTGGTCTATTTTCCAGCCAAGAGTGCAGGCAAGGATTGAGCACAGCCCATCGTCGTCCGCCGAGCTCTTATGGGACAGAAGTTCCATCGTCATGTCCTCTATGCCTTGTCGTCGTTATCGTTTGGTGCAGATGCGCAAGGATGCGAATTGCAGAAGACGGGGGAAGCGACTTGCTTGCTAGCGTGCATTACAACTTAAACACTCACGTGACACCACACTTCCCTCATCTGCGCATCAGATTCCCGCTGTACGATCCTAAGATCATTTTTGTGTGGGATATCTGTTGGTTTCCTGTCTCGTCCACAAGTCGCCTATCTGATGTTCTGCCAAGCTGTGCTGCGGGCCGAAGCCCTCAATTTCTAGGCGCCCTCGGAGGCGACGTACCGGCAACGCTTGTCAGCGGACTGGAGAGTGGTATCGATCCAGAGCTTCCACTCATAGGGTTCATCAGACGCGAGGCATACTCAAGCACAAGCTGCGCCCTTTGAACGAGTCGCTCAAATCGGCCACAAATTAAGACTTCGACTCTCGCGCGCGTCCATCGAACGTACACCGCAAGATGCGTTTTGATGTCTTCACCTTCACACTGGCGGCAAATTCCTTAGTGGCTTCCTGCAGTCCGAGCAAATCAACACATGTTCTGGACCTCGATCCCCTTCAGAACCCGCTGCCATATTGTTTCCCGCCACAGATTGCCACAGGAACGCCGGCTCTGTTTCCCATGCTCTTGTGTCAGGACATTGTGCTCGAGGAGGCCACCATAGATCAGCTGCAAGACTACATGACAAAAGGATTCCTCACCTCCCTTGAGCTTTTGCGGTGTTATTTGAAAAGAGTTGCTCAAGTCGATGGCTACACCAACTCCATAATTGAGCTCAACCCAGATGCCGAGGCTATTGCTACCGCTTTGGATGCTGAGCGTGCAGCGGGGCGAGTTTGCGGCCCTTTGCATGGCATACCATTCATTGTGAAAGACAACATTGCGACAAAGGATCAAATGGAGACGACGGCAGGTAGCTGGGCGCTATTAGGAAGCGTGGTGCCTCGAGACGCCTTTGTAATTGCAAAACTACGAGAAGCTGGAGCACTCCTAATGGGCAAGGCCACGCTATCCGAATGGGCGGACATGCGTTCAAACAACTACAGCGAGGGCTATTCGGCGAGAGGAGGGCAAGCCAGGAACCCTTACAACTTGACTGTCAATCCCGGAGGCAGTAGCTCGGGAAGTGCCGCCGCCGTCGCAGCCAATGTCATCTCTTTCTCATTAGGTACTGAGACAGACGGTAGCGTCATTAATCCGGCGGAGCGCAACGCAATAGTTGGTCTCAAGCCCACGGTGGGACTCACATCTAGGGCTGGGGTAGTCCCGGAGAGCGCGCATCAGGACACTGTCGGAACATTTGGGCGGACTGTACGTGATGCTGCATATGCTTTCGACGCTATATATGGGCCTGATCCACGGGACAACTATACCCTAGCACAAAAGGGCAAAACTCCAGACGGAGGATATATGCAGTTTTTGACTGATCGATATGCGCTCAAGAATGCTACCTTGGGTCTGCCTTGGGACAGTTTCTGGGTACATGCCGATGACGAACAGCAATCCCAACTGATGTCTGTTATCGATTTGATCGAAAGTGCCGGCGGTACCGTGATCAACAACACCGAGCTGCCGAACTATAGGACCGTTGTCTCGCCAGACGGCTGGAATTGGGACTATGGCACCACTCGAGGCTATCCAAATGAGTCTGAATACACGGTCGTAAAGGTGGATTTCTACAACAACATCAAGACATATCTCTCCGAGCTTCAGAACACACAAATACGCAGTCTTGAGGACATTGTGGCATACAATCTCGCAAATGATGGTACCGAAGGTGGAAATCCTTGGCCGTTGGGTATTCCAGCATTCTATTCTGGTCAAGACGGCTTCCTGGCTTCACTGGAAACAAAAGGTGTTATGGACGAGACCTATTACCAAGCGCTTTCATTTACGCAACGCAGCACGCGGGAAGACGGCATAGACGCTGTGTTATCCAACAACGGAAGACCTCTGGATGCTTTACTGGTGCCACCTGATGTTGGCCAAACCTATCAAACCTCAGCTCAAGCAGGTTACCCAATGATAACACTACCAGCTGGAGTACACTCAGACACTGGTATGCCTTTTGGGCTGGCGCTTATGGGCACAGCATGGAGCGAGGGTAGTTTGCTAAGGTGGGCGAGCGCGATCGAAGATCTCCAGCTCAGCTCTGAGGGCGCTTTAAGACGTACTTTGCCAAGATGGTACGGGTATTTGGAGCGTAATATACCTGTGCGCAATGTATGACGTGTGGGCCATTAGAGAATGATACCCGAAGGTTTCCGAGTCAAATAAGACCGGAAGCGATCAGAGTGCAGCAAATAGTCGCTATTCCATAGTCCAGAACTATACGCATTATCAAGATAAGACGTTATGCATAGCTTCGGGCCGTTGTGACTCGCGAGTTCCTGTGCACTTTCTGTCATGATTGATAATCTGCAGTACATCTTACAACACGATGCCCAATGCACCATGTTCTGACGGCCTGGAATCTACGCGGAATATGGTAAACAGGCAGCCGACCACAAAGGTCCATTCCAGACACTTCCCTCGAGTGAATGGCAGGAGCCCTGAACCGCGCTTTTCGTCAACGCGCCCTTGGTATATATATCAGCCCTAATTCCCTCATGTATATCCTTCCAAAATCTACTCCACAACAGACTTACTGACCCGAAACACAACCTTGTAACTCAGCTTCTTCCGATCAAAATGTCGACTTACGAGTATGCGAAGCGCAAATCAACAGCTGCCGACCATATCGATGCTGAACATCCTAAGCGTGCTAGGATGAATGAAGATTATTCCATCGCCGAAGATAGAGAGCCGCAGTCTGCATTGAACAATGCTTAAGCTGTCACGGCGGCAAATCCGGTTCCGGCCTGCCCCTGGCTGGCTCGCGAGCAAAACATATCCGAGCAAGATCTCTGGGTGATATACTGCCGCGAAAACCTTGTGCCAGGTGCCATAAGCCCAAAGAACTGGGAGACTGTAGGCGTAGAGTTCAATGAACACTTTGAAGAGAAGTTGAAGCAACCTCTATCTTACACGACCCTACAACGGCGCTTGCTTACGTCGAGGAAGCGGTTTTATGCCGATAACCCTGATTACCTTCCAGCGCTGGTCTACCTAGTGCCCATGTCCGCTCATGAAGACGAGGGAGACGTCGTTGAAGACAGCGTAATCGTAATCCAACCCGGGTTAGTGCTGGCCCCAGTATCGCCCCCAGCTCCTCAGAACAATCGGACACGCAGGGTCAAGAAAGCCGCGAATGAGAAGGAAGTTCAGCCGCCTGGCGATCCTAAAGTCTATCTCGGGAGCTCTTCGCTGGGACTTGTCGCAATCTCCGACTCGCAGTACGGACTTGCGGGTGCCTGGAGTGCGTCATTGATCTCTGCTCATCAAGTCTCAGCCATAGATCGGGCTAAGTACTATCTGCGCCGCCGCACGAAAGATCGTATAGTTTTCAACTTTATGGACGCCTCGGAGCAGAACCTCGCGGAGAATGACGTCCAGTTCATTGAGCACGACAAATTGCTCATGGCCTCGCCATTCTACGCTCGTCTATCACGCGCTGACCCTGCACGCGTCGTTGGTGTGCCCGAGGACTTCTGCGTAAAGACCGTCAACGCGTTCAGCCAGATGATCTCTCCTGTACATGCAAAGGCACTTCCGACGCACTATCTCTGGCCTTCAGAAAAACCGGTGGCGGGCGCGTACGATCGCTTCGGTGCTGTTCAGCCCGAAAAGATCAACTGGAGCGTGAGCTATCTGCTCAAGCTGCACGTTTTCGCCCGGCACATGCAGGTGTGGTTCGTGTGCGACATGGTTCTTGATCGAATGCATTGGATGATCAACGAGCAGGCGAAGTTTCGTGGAATTTATGGGCAATTAAAGAAGCAAGATGACTGCACGAAGACTCAGGGCCAGATCAAGACCGTCTGCCTTCCACCTGTGTCGGACCTAGACAGCTTCAGCATAGCCGCCGATGACATTGAGCCAGCGTGGCTCAGGCTACTTGCCGAACGACCAATCGACACACGCTCGCTCACATTCTTCAGGGATGCGATACACGCACTGGGTGGATCTTCGGAAACAGACTGGTTGGACGACACATACGAGCCGGTTCAAGATCTCTTCAAGCAAGCCGATGTGCATGGCTATTTGACCAACGCTTCTCGCGAGCAGTTCTGCACTCAGTACCATCATCACACGGATGGCGAGCCTTGCTACACAGCCGCAGCAGAGCACTCAACTGAGTACTTTGTCGAACTTCTGTACACCACAACTTCCCGCGACGAGCTCCTCATGCTCTCTAAACACGCCGCATCACCGAATGGCGTGACTAGCATGACATACCCAGCATTGGGCCCAGCTCAAGATCTAAAGTCTGCCAATTCTTCGCGAGAGATGCTGAAAGCTGAGAAGTTAGTGCTTATGACGGAAATAGAGCTCGGTTCGGCCAAGGCAGCGTTGCTGAAGGCTCGGAAGGCGGGTCCTAAGCAGAAGGAACGCGCGATCAAGCTTGCGAAGCGGATGGCGCAAGGTTTGCGGAAGTAGAAAAGATAGTAGGGCCCTGAAGTAAACTTAGTGGTTATAGAAGATGGATAAAAGTGGAGTATGTCGGCATTGTATAATGCTGCGACCGAGAATGGTAATGTAAATGGACGTCGCGAAGTCGTATTAACTACCATGGGACAAGTGCAAAGCTCCTAGCTTTTTGGTTCGGTAGCATATATGAAGAAATGAACACTTGATTCACTGTGGCCATGTACAGAGAGTGAACACTGTTGTGAGAAGCTTGCGGCTACAACGTGCAGACGAGCTGTGATTGGCTGATTGGCTAGAGAGTAAAAGAGTTAGACTCCCGGCAGCAGAAGGGTAAGGACCTGTCTGATTGCCCAGTTTGAAAACGCCGTCTCGGCAGAAAAGTGACAGAATTTTGCCTCGTTCAGCCACGATCACGTGATTAAACGGTGCAATCTGAAGGAACAAGGGAATTCAAATTGACCTTTAAGAAACAGGGACTCCATTTGCTACGCGCGCTCAGAAAAAAGGCAAGTTCTAGGCCTACTAGCTATTCTGTTAGGTGTTGGCTCAAGCACGGAGGTTTTGACGGCCCGTGATAGCGAGTTCCAAGGATTTAGGGAGCAGGCTCACGTGAGCGCTACACCTGTTCTGATCAAAACGGCCGTCTAAACCGGAGCAAAGCAGACAGGCCCTCCGTCTACGCACTGCAATCCACATTTCAATCAAACCTTCCGCATTAGGAAGTCTCACAACCAACTCATCTTTCCGCATGTAACATGTCTTATTCCATCTCGTCTACTCATCTTAAGGGTATCTTCGCGAGAAAAACTACATAATTCCAAACACCACCGCACATAAACTCAACGCAACCATCAATCTCGTACTCCTCTTCGATCCCATGGCTGCATTGTCCTCTCCCTCGCCCTTCTGCCCCTCCTTATATCCATCTCCCATGTACAGTGCCCCCAACTCCGTTAGTCCGCCATCTTCATCAAACAGCGCCACGCCATCGCCCGTCCACTCGTTTGCATCCTCAGTCCTAAACGCGCCAAACCACGCATACTTCTCCACATACTCCAACTGATCCAAATACGGTAGGGTCTGATTCATCATTCCCACAGTATTCTCCGCGCTCTGTTGCGGCAAGCCCATCTCCGTGACCCAAATCGACACATTCTCACTGCGCGACGAGTTCACGTTGTAGAACTCGTTCAGCGTGCCCAGCCAAGCTGCCAGCCCATCGAACGCACCGTACCAATGCGCGCTGACAAAGTCGGCCGGGCAGCCGTTTTCTTTGTCGATCTCGTAGCAGCTTTCGTTGAAGCTGCGTAGCCACTCGAGACCATTGGGTGAGCCGGTGGTGGAGGGATGGCTGATTTTCCACTTTCGACCACCCTTGTCGCCGGAGCGGAAGGGCACGACGTAGTCGATGTACGCCTTTGCGGCATCTTCGGGCTTGATGGAACTTCCACCACTTCCTGTGGTGCCGTCTGGTTCATTGAAGGAGAGGAGGTGGGTCGATGATTCTGGCAGGCCGCGGATGACGTTTTCAGTCTGTGGAGTCTGTGTGGCATCGATACCGTGGATCATGGGTACGAATTCTAGACTGTCGGATGGGATGAGGTTGGTGTTGGGGTATGGACTCCAGTTGTAGTACCATGACAGTGGGCTGTTGGAGGACAGTAGGCGGTTGTCAGTGGTGTGAGTGTCGCCGATAAATGCGAAGCCACGCTTTGATTCTTGCGCGGTTGATGTACTTGCCAAAAGCGATAGGTACAAAGCAGCGTGGGCTATCCGCCTTTGGGACCGTGAACGTGGCTCGGTATAAAGCATCTTGAAGATAGTGGAATTGTGTAGATTCGGTTATGCAAGATCTGGGTCACTAAGGTAAGGAACCGTTGTGGAATGCATTTGACAGCGGGTATATCCATGTCTATATACGCTTCATTATCTTGGTACATCGTTGTCGTGGCGAGGCTGCTGGCGATGCTGGGCTTGCGTCATTGGACAAAACTTGGCAGAAGCCGCAGCAGCAAGACAAGAAGGACCGATCGAGTCAGAGGCATCGTTGTTTTACAGGTAACAGGACCGCTTCAGAGAATCACAGGTCCGGAAAGGTTAAGTAGGCCCTGAAAAGTTGTAAAGACAATCTGAGGTATACTAGACTGACCAAATTTCTGGGATGGCTAGAGTCGTTTAACCCGAATCGGGCTAGACCGGGCCTTTCAGAGAACTTGAGTGGTGGAGTTCTCTCCGCGCAACCACATTGAAAGAATGGATGGCATTGGCAGGCTACAGGAAATAATTTGTCTGAAGGAACGGCTGAATTCTTCATCATCTGTGCTTCAGGACAACACATTACATCACGTGTGAAATCAATGGGAGTGTTTGAGTGAATTGGGTATCAGGCTTTGGCCTTGTTTCTTCATCGACCAGACACCGAAGTCCCATGTCATGATTACATGACGAGTGTGAAAGACCCAAAGATTCATCGCTCATTGACTCCTGACCGTGCCTGTTCCGAACCTTTTTCATTTGGTGAAATATCCTTCTTCCTCATTCTGCATCTAAGCAGCGGTGATGGCCTTGCGGACCTCCTTGCCACGCTGCCTCGAGTTCAAACGGCGCTCGATGTTCTCGGGACCCTTCTTGACAACCTCGGCACCCTCGGTGAGGATGAGCTCAATGTGAGAGGGGTTGGACATGTAAGGGTTGATCTGGAATTGTTAGAAAAGAGTTGGTGGGCGAAGTGCTTGGTACATACACGACCGTGGGCACGGTATGTGCGCCTGCGCTGCTTGGGGGCCTGGTTGACCTGGATGTGCTTGACGATCAGGTTGCTGGTGTCGAGACCCTTGGTGTCGGCGTTGGCCTCAGCGTTCTTGAGGAGACCGAGAAGGATCTCGGCGGACTTGACGGGCCAGCGGGCACGGGAGACACCGAGAGCCTTACCTGGGGAGAGTCAGCCTGTTCTTGCATAATCGCGCGTGCAGAAGCTATTTCAAGTGCCAATTGCGCCTCCTCTCGCTATGCGTCCACGTTCTCCAAGATTGCAGCTTACCCTGTGCAGTGCGTCCAGTTCCGCCAGCGTACCGCCTCATGGGAATGGCCTCCTTGTGCTCCAAGACATTTCCGAGGTAGGTGAGGGCACGCTCGAGCTTCCAGCCGTTGATGGCCTGGGCGGTCTCGCGGGTGTTCTTGAAGGATACGCGGAGGTAGCTGCCGCGCGCGCGAGCAGACTTTGCGCCGTCGATGCTGGTTGCTCCGTAGCGAACCTGCACTGAATTAGTGCCTCGTTCTCAAATGAACGGTTGCATCAATGGCGACCATGTTGGACGTACCATTTTGTCGATTTCAGGGTGGTGATGTCCTGTCGTTAGTAGTGGAGAGAATGAAGTTGAGAAAAGACCAAATTCGTGTGGGCTACTCGGCAAAACGCTCGGGCCGGGGTCAGGCACGCTAACGGGGTGGATGCGCCTTAGCGTCTGGATTTTTTCTGAGCTCGAACTTCGAACTTGAGCTGCAGCACCCATCGCCCGCAGACGACACCACCAGGAACAACTCTTCCCGCCTGCAAAACGACGCGCAAACAGCTTGCGCATTCTCATTGACATTGCGAAGTACGCTAGCGATTTTTCTGGAAAGCGTTCGATCAGATAAGCTAATACCCTATGCAGTACATTTCGCAAGCTCCTCTACCTTCTACAATACACAAAACTCTAAGCAATGGCTTTCACACCTAGGTATGAGCTCCAATATAATCGTCTGCGCGATCTAGGACCTGCGAATAGATGCGAATGCGTCTAGAAGGAGCTTTTTTAAACTTCGGATGGAAGGGCTCCTACCTCGCAAAGCTGTTCCGCAAGATCCCAGGCGCGAGTCGCGCGAGACCACTGAACAGAAAACTAACATTCACCAGAGGAGGACGTGGTGGCTTCGGCGACCGTGGAGGACGTGGCGGTGGTGACCGTGGCGGTCGCGGTGGATTTACTCCCCGTGGCGGACGTGGTGGCTTCGGCGGCGACCGTGGAGGACGCGGCGGTGGTCGCGGTGGCTTCGGCGACCGCGGCGGACGAGGAGGAGGTCGTGGTGCGCCCCGCGGTGGACGTGGTGCTCCCCGCGGTGGAGCTCGTGGCGGACGTGGAGGTGCTCGCGGTGGAGCGTATGTCTTGCAACTCCTCACACCGCATTTCAAGTCTAATGAGCCAACAGCAAGGTCATCGTTGAGCCCCATCGCCACGCCGGTGTCTTCGTCGCCCGCGGAAAGGAGGATCTCCTCGTCACCAAGAACTTGACCCCCGGCGAGAGCGTCTACGGCGAGAAGCGCATCAGCGTCGGTGCCTCTGCCAACGCAGCAGATGGCGACGACTCCACACCCAGCAGCATCGAATACCGCGTCTGGAACCCCTTCCGAAGTAAGCTGGCAGCCGGTATCCTCGGTGGTGTCGACAACATCTACATGGGCCCTGGCAGCAAGGTCCTGTACCTTGGTGCCGCCTCCGGTACCAGTGTTTCCCACGTTGCTGATATCGTCGGACCTGAGGGAACCGTCTTTGCCGTTGAGTTCTCGCACCGCTCCGGACGTGATCTGATCAACATGGCCACCCACCGCACAAACGTCATCCCCATCGTCGAGGATGCGCGTCACCCTCTCAAGTACCGCATGCTTGTCGGCATGGTTGACTGCATCTTTGCCGATGTTGCGCAACCCGATCAGGCCCGTATTGTCGGTCTGAATGGTACGTTACAGACACACCCAAGTTCCCGTCCTTCACTAACACATCACAGCCGGTCTCTTCCTCAAGGTTGGCGGTGGTATTGTCATCTCCATCAAGGCCAACTGTATCGACTCGACCGCTGCCCCCGAAGCCGTCTTCGCACAAGAAGTCACCAAGCTAAGGGAAATGGGCATCAAGCCCAAGGAGCAGCTGACGCTTGAGCCCTTCGAGCGTGACCACGCCATGGTCGTTGGTGTATACGAGCGTGCGAAATAGACGCGTTTTGTTGAATTGGAAATTTCACGATGCATGGGAACGCGTATCATATACCTGTACTTTCGAACCATGGGGACATTTGGCGTTTTCCGGCGCCTGGTGGTCATCGGTATTACTTGTTTTGAATCGATTTGATAAAAGATGATCAATGCTATTTCCTCGCTACTGTATAATCATGCCTTGCGTCACTTGTCAACACCTTCATTTCGCATTACTTACTTCGTCGCAGCCTACACTGTCCCCGGCCTCCAGCACTGAGCTAAGGATGATCCTTCATCGCCGCGATGAAATCACACCGCACACTCTGAATGTTATCGTTGAACCCATATCGACCCAACTGCTTGATCCCCGGGCTCGTAAACGGTAGCGCTTTCCCGCGACAATTCAAGCTCCTAGTTTCCCGTCAGCTGCTCTTCTCTCCCATCAAGCACTTCGACGACTTACGTGTAAACCGTACAAAACGTGCCCCAGTCCGGGCCTGTGGAGCTAATCGTCTTCGCGTAGGGCTTGGTGAAGTTATCTAGCTAAAGTCAGGTACGAAATGGTGCATCCATCGGAGGGCTAGGCGTACGGCAGTCTGAGACAGTAATTTGCATGTTCGCGCAAGTACCGCGCCAGGATGAGTCGGTGCAGACGTAGAGGCTCGTGTTCGGATTCGAGAGCGCAGGAGCTGCGGCGGCGATGATGGTTGTAGCGAGTGACAGTATGGGGAGAACTGAAAGGAGCATCGTCACAGTGTGGTATCTTGGATGAACTGAGTAGACAAAGATGTGGTTTTGCCATTGCTTCACGGGGTTGATTTATTGACTTTGGCAGACCCTTGCTCCACGTGCATTCCGATGGTGTTGTACTACCTACTGGCCCATCCCAGTCTTCACCCCTTTGATTCACCTTCAAGCTCCTAGAATGATCCAGCGTCGGGCACGTCTGACTTGTCGCTCTTCTGAGGAAGAACTCCACGGAACGACAAACGACAGTATGAACAGGACGAAGGATAACACGACACTACCAGACTTGGCCTGTTAGCACCTTTCTGCCTTGGAGTGGGAGGGAAGACGTGCGAAACCAAGCCCAATCCACCGTTGCGCATGTAGACCATCGGACGTAATATACCACACCAAAGCCGCAGCTGCACTTCCCTAGAGCACCAATAGGGCTGTACATATCTTCTTGGTCATGGTGTCGGGTAGGTCGATGCTGAAGAGCTCGGTCCAGTGGACGGCGCCCATAATGTACAAAATTACTGTGATCTACCTTCTTCAATTAGGTTGGGATACATGTCGTAGATACATTGGACTTGCAGGTGTACCAAGGCCAAGCGCCAAACCTATGTCTCTACCACTGTCTTCCAAATTGTGCATAACGATGATGGCGCATACAATGTATGTGAGTATGCCAGCGGTGATTATATAGCTCACAATGTCCGCCTCGATAACGTTGCGAATTTCGCCTCTGAGCATGTCCGCAACAGGCATTGGCGAAGGGTGGTAGGCTGTGAAAGGAATTGTCGGAGGCGCTGTACGGCGTATAACGGTAGAGGTTTTCACATCAGGCCGTAAATTTTCAGATACATAGGTTTTGGAGCTTCTTGATGAGCTTTGTGCTGAACGAGGGGTAACGCCTGAGGTGTTCGAATTTGATGGGATTCGTAAGCTAGATGCAGCAACTCTCGTATCTGAACTAGGACCCGACCGTGACGATGCGTACGTAGAGCTTCGTGCTGAGCTCTGGGTGTTGACCATGTCATCTCGCGGTGCCGGTGTTGGTGATGTGACTATGATGCTGGGGATCGAGGAATCAGAGGGATTCCGACTGCGTCGATTCATGTTGGAAACGAAAGAGTTGGAGCTTTTGCTGTTGCAAAATGACGTGGTTCGTAATACAAGCCTCAGTCATGCAGCAGTGGTACTTGATCGCCGGAGTGAATGTGGTGCGGAGGGTTAGCTCTCCCAGAGTCGCCGAATCTGAGCCCAGCAACAGCCTGCAACACTAACTATGATAACCTTCAGGCGGTCTGGCTCTCTCTGCTCCTTCAGCTCCTCCTTTGGAACGGGCCTTGACCGTTTATGCAGTTTCTCTCGTTTTGCTCTTCGTGGGCCTTGATGCCTTAATCGATGCTTTTTGCTCACGACGGTCAGTGAAGATATCTGGGCATAGCGATCAGTAAAGACATTGGTGATGGGATGTTGTGTGTACAGTTACAAAGCGTTGGAGCCCTTGACTGATTTGGTAGCCAGCAGGTCTCCTGCCTGATTTACTGCCTCTTTCGCGGTTCCCAAAGCATTTGGAGAGAGGAGGTGCACCCACGATCTCGAACTACCGTTACTCAGCACATTGAGTTTTAACGGACTAACTCCAATGCATTCGCGCGTTCCGGCTCTTGGAACCCATGATGGCAACTGTTGAAGAACTCTCAACTTCATGCTGGGATCCACACCTTGGTCCGGATGAATTGTGATTGCCAGGACTCATTAAGCTGAATTAGGCGCACTCCTGAACTATTCCATCGTTGCTGGCGACGGGTGCACCAAGCAAAATTATGCCTACTATCGGACATTACGCGGTCCTGCTGTCGCCAGGCAATTTCACGTGTTGACATGTCTTGATTGGACGTGACTCTTGGCGTAGCGATGGCCAGCGGCGGATCTGCACTGCCAAAGAAGAGGGTTGTGTGCCGCGAAGGATGAGCTTAGGTGCGAGCTCGCTTTACTTCATATGCAACTGATGTCGAAAGAGGCTCACCTCAACACTTTGCGTGACAGTGAATTATTGATGTGACGTCAGAGCAACGTCGCCTCAGCATGATAAGGTGTACACCTGCCAGCTCCAACAATCCTCCCCAAGCTCAGTCCGCTAAATCAATTCACCGAAAATGGCTCCAATTAACGTAGAGACCGCCGCTAGGAACATCATCGTCTCTGGTGGAGCCCGTGGCATTGGAAGAGCGCTCAGTCGCATGTTTCTGGAGGCTGGCCACAAGGTGTACATCTTCGACATTGATGACGAGGAGCTGCAGCATACCACCAAAGTCCATTTAAAGAAGTACTACGACGAGAAGAAGCTAGATTCAGCAACCTGCGACTTACGCGACGTGAAGGATATTCGAGCCAAAGTTAAGGACGCGGCCAAGTTCTTCGACAACAACGTGGACGTCCTGATCAACAATGGAGGTATTGCGTCGCCGCAGTGGAAAGATGGCAAGACGATGGAGGATGAAAGCACGTTCGAGGAGTGGCAAGCCTACATTGACACCAACCTCACTGGTCCCTTCGCCATGAGCCAAGCATGCATCCCGTTCATGAAATCGAGGCAAGCAGACGCCACGTCAGGCGCCCAGAAAATTTACGGCTCAGGTCCATGTATCATACACATTGGGTCGTTCCGTGCGCATCAGTCAGATCCCAACCAGGAGGGATATGCATCGAGTAAGGCTGGTCAGCTCGGCCTGATGCACTCCATGGCCATCAGCTTGGGACCACTAGGCATCCGGGTCAACTTGATTGCGCCTGGTAGGATCAAGGTCGCTCACGAGAGCAAGGAGGGTAAGAGGTCAACACGCGAGGCCTATGTTCGCGTGGCTAACGACTGCAGGTGATGAGAAGGGCACAGACTGGGCAGGCCAGGTCAGCGAGAAGGACGTCGACGACCATCCGACAAATCGAGCGGGAAGGCCCAAGGACATTGCTGATGCGGCTCTATATCTCATCGATGCAGGCTTCATTACAGGTATGCCCCCTTGCTTTCAACTTGCGTACATCAAGCTAATCGGAAATCAAGGCCAAGACATTACGGTGGACGGAGGAGCTCTGAGAAAGAAACATTGATAGGACATGGGGAAAAAGAGCAATGTGAGGAAGAAAAAGACTTGTCTGTCGTCTTGGCTATGGAAGTTACGAAGAGTAGGGAACCGAACTCAGGGTGAAGAATGTCGCAATTGCTGACTCATGTCGGATCATCATTTCGCCGACATCGTGACGCATCTCAAAAAAAGTGACGCCAGCCATGATGGGCGGGCTTGACCCACAAAGCGCGTTCGATGTTTGCGACTGTAGACCATCGCTTCTTGCCTTGATCGCTTCTGCTCAAACGGTGCATTAGTATTTGCATTGATCGCCTCAGTTCACCGTTGCGACTGATTGTGCCTTCTTCGAATGCACTTACGACTGGCAGTGCACTCACCAAAGGCCGCCTTTACTCTCCACTCACCTTATAGATATGCCTTGAAAACCCGCTTTCTCATTTGCCGTAATTTCGCGACTACTTCGTGGAAGCCTCCACCCGTCAGAAGTCGCAGCAACCCCGATTCGTCCCAGAGCACAAGCAATGCTAAGGAAGCTCCCACACAAGCGCATGAACGTCCGAAATTTACATTTGAACTAAACTCTGGCGCGCGCAAATCCCACAAGGATCGCAAACGAAGCGCTCAAGCAGCGGTCGAAGTTGGACCCTTTGTCTTCCACTCCGCGAATCGGCCGACACACGATTGGGTTCCACTCCTCGAACCTCTTCATAATCGCACCGAAGCGGAGCAAGGGCCTAGGATTGAAGTTGTGGAGAAAATCGTACGAGACGATCGCACCAACATGTCCTCGAGCATCGAGATCCTCACGACGCCGACGTCGGACACTCCAGGCACGACACTGGTGTTACGAACAGCTACAAAACACTACGTCTTCGGCAGTCAGGCAGAGGGCACCCAGCGTGCGCTGGTTCAGCAGGGCGCGCGACTGTTGAAGGCCCAGGACTTTTTCCTGACAGGAAAGGCAGAATGGAAGAACACAGGCGGATTCATGGGCATGATGCTCACATTGGCTGACGCGAGCTCGAGCTCTTATGAGCAAGCCATGTTGATGGTACAGCAGGCAAGAGACAAGGGTCGCACAGCTTCCGAGCCGGCGAAACACAGCTTCAACATATACGGGCCGCCCAATTTGAAACACACAATGGGCACTTGTCGACGATTTATTTTTCGAAAAGGCTTGCCCATCCATGTAACTGAATACGCAGACAGACCCGTTGCCAGGGACGAGAATGGCGGCATACCACCAACTTGGCAGGATGCGAACATCCAGGTGTGGGCTCTACCCGTATCACCAGTACGCCAGCAGCAAGACCCAGAAGCCGAAGCCGAGCTGGAGGCTCTTCGTCAGGACTTTGATGCGCGACTGAACACATTTGAAGACCACAAGGCCCCGCCCAATGAGTCTAAAGAGGATAGGGACGCGCGATATGACCGCATACGTTCTGCTACGCTCAAGTTCATGTTCGATTCAAATTGGAGCTTCGACACTCTGGTAGAGCGGCACATTGCGGAAGTTCAAATGCCCGCTGCAATCTTCGTTCGGAATCCAGATACCCATGGCTACGAGCCTTATCAAGGGCCCAGGCCGGGGGGTTCGGAGCCATTGCCCGATATCACTGTCTGGACACGGACACCCTGGCCCGGAGCTACTATCATGGCAATACCGCCTACACGACCTCTGCCGGAATGTCTCTCATATATTGTGCGCACCTTTCCATCTCGGGGTACTTTTGACGTCGCACGGGCGAAAGCCTTGGGCGTGAAGCCTGGACCTGACTTTGGAAAATTGACTTCCGGCAAATCTGTACAAAACGAGAAGGGAGACTGGATAGAACCATCTCAAGTCCTCGGCGCGGATAGGCCAGGTCAAGGAATAGCGATACTTGAAGTGCCATCATTGGAGTACCTCGAGGCGGTTGTGCAGCGTGAAGAGCTGAACAATTCGCAAGTCATGGCAGGCATAGGCGCTATCATATGGGTTCTAGGACCAGATATCTCAGGTCATCCTATTCTCAGCGAATTCATGGATAAGCTCAGCGACGTGCAACACATTATATCGTCTCCAGATGTGTCACCCAATCGCATAGCTCATGACTCGGTGGCGTGTCAAGCAACTCGACTAGGTCAGGTGGATCCAGCCCGATATTCTGTCCCCATACACGACAATTTCACTGTACCGCAAGAAGGCCTTTTCTCGAATTCTCAGCGACATATTTCCCCAATGCCGAAGGAGTCCATTCGCGCAGATAGAGGCTTGAGCTTTACGCTCATGCCAAAATTTGCAACCAAGGAAGAGACAAAAACACAAATGTTCAACAGTAACGTAGTTAAGCACGAAACAGATGCCGAAGTATTGAGATTGGCGGCAGAAGCGCAACAGGCAGTCAAGGATGATCAAATCAACCAAGACGCGTGGAAGCAGCTACTTGCGCGCCCAGACACTGAAGTCATCACCTTGGGGACGGGCTCTGCCTTGCCATCTAAATACCGAAATGTGTCTGCCACCCTCGTACGGGTGCCAGGTGTTGGTAACTACCTCTTGGATTGCGGCGAGAACACGCTGGGTCAGCTGTCGAGGGTCTTTCCACCGGAAGAACTGCGGGACATCATCAAGAACCTGCGCCTCATCTGGATCAGTCATCTGCATGCTGATCATCACCTGGGTACAACTGGTGTGATTCGTGCATGGTATCATTTGGTTCACGGTGGTGTCCCAAATAAAGAGAAGCTTGACGCCGCAACAGTACTCAACAACTCAAGCCAGTATGGTCTATCGGTCATATCACATACTGGCATGTTGCAGTGGCTTTATGAGTACTCATCAGTGGAGGATTTTGGCTACAGCAGAATTCTACCGCTCGAGGTGTCACCTAACGAGACCGGGCGCGGTTCCTTACTCAACATTCTCAACTCTTTCAACGCAGAGCAGAACTACGACACGACCATAAAGCGAAATCAGTATCCGCAACTTTTTGGGTTTGAAGATATCCAGACTGCGAAGGTCGTCCATTGCCATGGCGCGATGGCAGTTTGCATCACGTTTCCACGCTCTCCTGAAGATCCTCATAACCTCAAGCCACTCAAGGTTAGCTACTCGGGAGATTGCAGGCCATGTAGGCATTTTGCTAGGGTCGGCCGTGATACAACAGTCCTGATTCATGAAGCCACCTTCGATGACGAACTCCTCGGCGATGCCAGAGCTAAGAAGCATTCCACTACCTCTGAAGCACTAGACATTGGCTCGCAAATGAACGCTAAAGCTGTCGTCCTTACGCATTTCAGCCAACGCTACCAGAAGATACCCGTATTGGAGACGGTGACAGAAGGCGAGCAAGAAGGTCCGCTTCTCGATCCTGAGAACACCGCGGAAGAGGCTGACAACGAGAATGACATAGAAGCCGACCCCACGCTTGAGAATACCGATAATATGGACATCCACTCAACAACGCAACTCTCCTCCACAACCGCACCCAAGGTCGCCACACTTGAACGCCACGCCTCTTCCACGGTTCCCGAACTCGGACGCGTCATCAAGGTCCGCAATCCCGAAATGAAGGTTGCCATTGCATTCGACTACATGCGCGTCAAGATTGGCGATATCGTTCAGTTAGAGAAGTTCAACGAGGCATTGAGCGAATTGCTGGTCAAAGAGGAGGAGGTCGAAGCTATTGGCGCTGAGGATGGCAAGATCAATAGCAATGGAAAGAAGACTAGTGGAGACGAGGGAGGCGGGGGCGGGAAGAAACAGAAACAGGGTCAAGGGACGCCCAAGGTGCGGAAAATGAAGTCGTCTCAGAGAAATAATTGAGGGGAGGCAGGAGAACAGGAATGATTGCGTCGTGGCATATGATCTCATACCATACGCAGTATGAAGAAAAATGTAAAATCACCACTTCAATAACCTCACCATTGCTTACAGTCGATGATGATCATCACCAACAATTCGTTGAAAATCCTAGCCCCAAGAATATTGCTAGTTCTAGCATACTTTTGTTCTGAAGAGGATTTTAAACTCACGCCGCATCACCACACGGACAGCATATGCGCGGATGTAGGTATTTGCGAGACTCCATTCAAGCCTCAACCTTCCCGCTTATGTATTGAATTTGAACAATTGTGGTTTCCAAAGCTTATGGGGAACTGCCCTGTTCTCTTTTGCTTTGCACGTAAAAAGACGCATATATTAGTGCAAAAACAGTTTTCGAAAAAAAGCACATTAGATCCTTAGCGTTATCTTTTTGAGGTCGCGAAAGGCTTATGGAGAGGGTACAAGATCTTCTGGCTCTACACATGTTCTCGTTTTGGTCAGCTGCACAAGGAAACATGAGTATTGCAGTGGATGGAATCTACAAGGAGCAGGTTTATATACTAGCTACCCAGTAAGTCAAACCATGGAATCTTATCTCGCGTGCGGCAATGTCGTCATACGGAGAGAGCAAGATGCACTTCCCATTGTCCATTCTCAGCACCAGGTTTAGTCCTATATATTTTATTCAAATTTAAGAATTCCCAATAGAAACAGAACGGTGTTAGTAAGTAGTGCCTGTGTGTTCCGCATGTCTCCGCTATCGTGTAGTGGACGATCCGGCCATGCAGGTTACGGAACGCGCTCGGTAAATTCTATTATTTTTGCCTATGTTAATGCCTGTGCTTTGGAAGGTCAAAAGTTCGAGTCTGATGACAGTCTTTTACAAACTAATTCTTCTATTGTTTTGTCTTTTTATGGGAAATGAAAGTGAAGTGAAGGTGAATGCTAATCACCGCGATTGGGGAGTGTGAGGTAGACGCTGGCAGTAGACGGCATGAATACTTCTTTTAGTTCTTATCTCTCTAGTTGTAGAGGTGCCACAGAAGTTATAATGCTTATCTATGACTGTTATACATGTCTGCGGGAGCAGAGAAAACATCATGATGCTGAATACCGTATTGTGCGAGTAATGCCATCCAAATGATCCTCGCTAAATCTGGTTTGGAAAAAGCAGGACATCAGCTACCATTCTGTAGGGTATGGAAGAAAAGAGCGAAGCGCTTATGGATTTTGTTTTATGTCTCTTTGAGTTTAAGAAGCGATAGAATAGCCAGCAGATACGCAGAAAGTCCATCCTTCATTTTGGTTTCGAATGCACGAGCAAGTGAGCAAGATGTCTTAGAGTTTGAGGAGGTGATTTGAGTTTACATACTCGCCCTCGGTGCGCGAAGTCATAGCCTGCAAACGTGCTATTTTGATAATATGAAATTTCATTTTTGTCAGTGCAACATAGCCTGCGACCTTTCACAGTTCAAAAAACTGGGAACCAGGCAAAGACATTGTTTTTTTGGAGTAGAGATTTTAGAGTGTGACGGTATGGTACCAAAGCTCATACATATCATCTCTCCATCTCTACTTTCAATTTTGCTGCGGAGAAGCCGTGCAATGCTTTCTTTTTCGTTTTCGCGAGAGCAGAAAAGACATTGGTAGTATTTTCACAGGGGTTTTGAGAACACAAATACAGAAAAAGTCTTTTGACAACTTTTCGTGTTTTTGTAAGTGATCACCTGGCTTTGGCACTTCAGAAACAGAACAAGACTCCTATGCGGAAGACACGTCGAGTTCTTGGACATACTGCAATTTCTGGAATATTGTGACTGAGTGGAAGAAGAAGAAGCTCATAGTGGACATTCTTATATGGAGCGAACAACAACGTGGACTCAAACATGATGTACATCGCTCTGCCTTGTGAAACACATGATCAGACCAAGTTAGATTTTGTTTTGGACCGAAGGTATAATACATACGATAACGATAATGCTACTATTGCAGGATGGATTTATATTGCAAGTAGTGTGGCTCGGGCAGTTTAGCGGGAACGGACACACGTGCATGTGTCTGCGCTCATATAGCGCGCTCAGCATGGCGCACTTTGCTGTGGCTGTCGATATACCATGAATACATTTTATCGTTCGAAAAGACCTGCCGGTCTAGTGTATGTGGGCAGAGGTTCATCTGGCCAAGTTACGCGTGGCGATGCTCCATCCCATACGAGAACACCAGCGTCTCTGAAATTGTGCCGCATGACCTCCAGGACCTATCATGTTGATTCAGCATCTTTTTGCGCTTTGTGGAGACATACGAACCTCGTGGCATCTCTGCCTGCGCCTCGGGTTCTTGATCGAAGCAATCTCAGTATCTTTCATCGTGAACCACTCTTCTGTGGTGCCATCGAAGTAGTAGTTGAGCATCTCCGCTGTAGTGATGTATCGCTTTTGTTCGGCTTCATTTGTATTCTCTACGTCCTGCCGCCACTTCGGAGTAAAGAAGCGATGGCCCAATACCTTGATCATCACGCCTTTCTCCACGAGGATCTGGTAAATGGGCATGATCATGTCCATGATGTGGAAGAAGTTGCGGCTAAACTGTAGTTCTCGATCGAGGAAGACTTCGACGGTCAAGTCGTTCCGTACTGATAGATCCAAGAGGCTCTCTAGGTTGCGCTTCAGGTCCGCGTATGCAAAGCTATAAGGGTCAGACTGATAAGAGACGTCGATCCTGAGACGACGTATGATCTCTCCAGGGTGTAGGCTTATGTTGCCAAACGAATTAATGCGCAGGTAAGCCTGTAGTATATGGTAGTCGACTTCGTTGTCTGTCAACATGCGGAAGAAGTATGTTGCCGCTTCTCGTGCAAAAGATTCTCCGACAATGCTCGCGTCAGCGAAGAAAGGTGCTTGAAGAACCCAGTCGTGGGAGAGACGTTCGTCTCGAACGTTGTTGAAGGGTAGTTCAAGCTGCCCGTCAACGAGATCGATCGCGTCCTCATTCCAGAGATGGTCGTAAACTTGATCGCGCAATTCTGCAGGCAAAGTCTCGTGTATAGCCTCCACAAACGGACGACACAGTAAGGCCGCGGATCTTTCCGCTAGTTCGTGTAATGGTCTTTGAGAAGTAAGCGATATTAGACAATACTCAAGGACTGTGCATACAATTCACGGTTTCGAAGTTGTCCCAAGAGACGATTGACCTCGATTTGCTCTTGAGGAAAGGCGATCATCAGGTCATCCCGTCTTTTGTCAATAAACACCCAATCGGGTTGGCCTTCGTAAAGCACCGCTGTACCGTCGTTCAAGCCCAATAGCTCGCTTCTTGTGGCGCCCAACTGGGCCTCTGCCTGAGAGAGTCTACCATGATTAGCACTATCGATGATCCGACTTTAAAAGGTACTGACTCTTCTTTAACATGAAGCACATGCTGTAGTGGACTGAATCCGTCAGTACAATGAACGCACCGACTCGTTTCTCAGAGTTGCTTACGATTTTGCTTCTTTCCGCAGCTGCAATATCTTTTCACGCACATCTTGACCGACATACTGGAATGTCATCTCGTTCTGCACGCTCGCCATCATTCTGCATTCGTGTAAGTTATTGATGCAGCAATGCCACTCAACTCACAGAGGGAGATCGTGTCTGAGCTGATCAGATGTACTCGCCTGATCTTATTTGGGGAACAGGTCGTAGGTGAGGTTTTGAAGCGTTGGCGTTAAGTAGGCACGTAGGCTACCGTCACCAACTATCGTCGAATGCGGTTAGCGCAAGGCTACCTCCTGCCTCCTGCCTAGCGCATCATGTCCAGGCCGCCTAACGTTTACTAACTTCTGGCTCTGAGCCAGGAAGTGCAATCCTTGCTAGATCCGCTGGTCACATACAATGGAGCACAAATAGAGCCTGTCATTCCCATGTCTTTTTCCTCTGACCGTTTCTACAACCCAAGAGCAGGACATAGAAGCTGCCGTGATCAGCTTTGATTCATACTGCTCTATCAAAGCTCTGGAATCGAAGTTTTGAACACAACAGAGGCCGGGTAATGATTAGCAGAAGGAAAGGCCATCGATCAATTTATACATACAGCTCAAATTCGTAATCGTACTTATATCAAACAATAAACAGTGGAAAAGACATGAGTGTAGCTGGTCAGGTTTTCGATGACTTCCCTCTTGCGAGGTCTTTCCTATGTCTTTCCTCATAGAACGCAGTTAACACGGATTTCGAGAACTTACAGATCTCTGCAGAAGACAGAAACATGTACTTGTTACGATCAACTCTGTTCTCAACGGCTCACATGGACACTCTCCTAGCTTCTTTTGGTGCCACTCTCCTCCATGACTTTTGCACGGATAGCTTTTTAGCTACGGAAGTAAAGTGAAGGGCGCAGACGAATAGAGCGGAGGGAAGTGGGGGGAAGGGGGATATATATGCCCGCTGGAGCACGAAAGTCAAAAAAACATGCATCCATGAAGTTTTTGTTTTGGCGCTACTGTTCAACCAACAGAAAAAAAAAGTAATGTAACTCGCCATGCCTCGTCTACTGGAGCATAGATCTAGGTAGTGAAACAAGAAGGCCAAATGCTCCAAAACGAAAAGACTCTAGCAAAAACGCCATTGAAAATGCTTTGGACCAACACCGAAGTTCTTGTTTATATGCTTACACAGCCGCGTATCCACCTCGACTGCCACCGCCTTGCACGGTACCCACAACCTTGCGCGCAAAATCCTTTGCAATGTACGGGATATCGCGAATTTGGTCCCCATGGGGCAATAAATCCCAGCCCCGAGCACCGTAGCGGTTGTAGTTGAGCCAGGAGCCGAAGATGAGGTAGGCGGCAATGGCGAGGAAGAGGCTGTGCTGGTGTTAGCATTCATCCTGGTCGTATGGGAGAAGTGTAGTTCGTGACTTACATGATGAAGAACCACCCGAAGAAACCCCAGTGGCTTCCTCCGTCAACCGGCGGGGCGTCCTCGCAGGCATACTGTGTCCGCCACTCAAGTCTCAGTGTCTGGATCTTCTTGTCCTTCTCTGTCTCGTTCTCGTATCCGCAGAATCGCAAGCTAGCATCGCTGTCCTCGCATTTGCCTTTTGAGTCGTCGGCTCGGCGCCTCAGCTTCTCTTCCTTCTTGTCGCCATCTTTCTCCTTGTCGTCATCCTTGTCATCTTCCTTGTCGCCGTTGTCTCCCTCGCTGCCTTCGAGTCCTGTTCGCTCTTTGTCGCACACAAACTCGATGATGGCTCTCTGATCGATACCGCTCTTCTTGTCGTCGAATGGAAAGCGCCCGCCGTTGAGGACAGCCCGCAGACCTTCCCGCCCGGCGTCAGAGTTGGACTTGGATTCTCGAAGGAGTTCGAATTTCGCATCGATGTCTTTGCCGTTCTGTGTTTTGTATGTTCCAGCGATGTCGATGGGCGTTATGGACGAGTTTCTTTCGATGGCAAGGTTTACATCTTCTCGAATGGCGCACACTGTAGATCGGTGTTAGCTGATTCCCGACTGAAAGAATGCGATCTAAGACGTGGCTGTGTGCTTATAGTTCTCAAAGACCGCCAGTGACACATACCTCTTGAGCCGTGATGACACTCCGTTGCCAAGCTTCCACCCTTGTGCCACTTCAACTTGTCGCAAATGTCAACAGTGAAGTTGTACTTGTACAGCATCTCGTGTGCCAGGTCTTCGTCCTTCCAGTGTACGACATGCGGCCCGCCGAGCTTGCCAAGGTTGAAGTGCACACCCGACGCCGCGACATCCTTGCAGTCGAATGCCCATGCTGTGGATGGAAGAAGCGAAGCTACGGCAAGGAAAGGCAGCAGTGATGCGCGAGGCCTTGAGGGTGCCATGGCGGTGGAAGTGACGGGAAACGCGGATAGCGGAGATGGATGGGTGGAGGCCTAGGAGTGAGACGAATACGGCGTGGATGAGGGTCGGAAGTTAGGGAGCGTCGGAAGTCCAGGAGTTATCGGTTGCGTATCGACACCAAGGTGATGAAGATGTAGGTAGTGAAAGTGTCGAAGGACGGTAGAAGGCACGGGAGGCGCTAGAACAGGCTAGATGCAACTGCGCGTGTTGATGTCGCGTGGACGCAGTGAAGCATGGAAGATGTTGGCGATGACGGCACGCCGCCTGCGCCGACGTGCCAAGCCGCTGCTTATGTTAGCGCAGCGGAGTGGACCGTTCGTGCTCCCACAGGATGACCTCAACATCACGCTTTCGAAACATCGGAATCTTACAGCGGGAATTTGGCTTGTGCCGAAAGACGTTACAGATTCTTGCCTATCGCATGCGTATCCTACTGAGGTGTCCTGGAGCACGTGCGGTGTTGTCAGACTGCTGCAAATTTGACACAACGAACGCCTGCCGCTATCCGTCAAATCATAACATGCTCCTCTTTCTCTGACTGCCACGGAGTGGCCGATCTACAATACGAGGTCACGGCAGCTCTCGCTTATAATAGACAATTCCCAAACGCCACAGCATGGTGGCTTGTTGGTCCGTGTCTAAGTAGTACGGACTTCACTTTGACAGAAACGCCTGATTACTGGAATCACTACTTAGTTCATATGATTAGGATCGCTACTCGAGATCATTGGTAGCGGGGACAGAGGCTTGCTCGATGTATTGTTTGAAACTGCATACGAAAACGCAAGTCTATGGAAATCGTAATCAATCACTCATATCCGATTGTATATACAAAGGAAGGCTGGTCGGACAGTAAAAGTACACGGCCCGAAAAAGCAAACACTAGTCAGACGCATATATACAGGAAGAATGCCTTCTATGCCACACCCGCCCGTGTGAATGCGAAATCTTGGATACAAAGAAACAGGCTGTGAAACTAATGAATGAACATGATGAAACAACCCCCAAAGCCACATTCTAAGTAAGTCGGGAAATCTAAAACCAAAGGAGATCTATCTTGCACGATGAAGAAAAAGTAAATGAAAAGGGTATACCCAGCACTACAATCGATCCAACGCACACCATCTATGTGAAAGCAGGCTGATAGGTAGTCCAAGCGTCACAAGCTTTTGCCGTTGCGAACTGTTGAAGGAACCCAGTCTAAGTACGGATAGGAAATTTGTCGTGATTCGTGGAAGCTGATGTGATCCTCTATCCATTCGAATCTTAAGCAATACTGGTAATGCAGCTGCACTGTTGTTGAAATGTTGGTGGCTGTCTATTTGCCCTGCTGACCCGAGCCGCGGCCGCCGGAGGGCAAGGGGTAGGGGAACGGCGCATAGGGAAGGTGGGAGCCAGTGGAGCCAGACGAAGATCCCGCAGTAGAGGTACTGCTAGGTGTAGAGGACGAGGAAGACATCGTTGGTGGTCGAATGGTGGGTTGAGAAGTTGAGTGATGTCGGGAGATTTTGAGCGAGGGATGGAGGCGGTGATGGCTCAAATAGGTTCTGAAAATGTGTGAGTAATGAGTTGGATATGTTGAGGAGTGAACACTCCTATATAGAGTCAAAAGAAGCGGTGGTGCTTACTTCAACGAGGAGTCGGCGTTGTTCCTTTGGTACCTGAAACGAGGAAATGTATACAGAGGTTTGGAAGTGCTTGTTGCCTGTTTGTGTTGGTGCTGTGTGATGCTGAGTTAGTCGACTGACTCTGCGAGATCTTTATATCTGGCGCGTTGATACTCTGACCGCCAGTCTGCAACTCTAATATTGTGAGTCTGCGATTATCGATCATAAGATGGAATGGTCCGTGGGCAGAGGAGGTTACGGTGTCGCACGACGGCGAGGTCAAAGCGTTCAGCCACTTGCTGAGAAGAGATCCCAACGCCCTAGGAATTTGATTCGGTATCTAGCAGCATAAGACCGCGTGGGTCCGTCTGTACGTGGGCGTGGGCGTGATGAGATCGAAGAGGACCGGGTAGCTGGGTCCTTTTTTAGACTTGTGGCGTTCAAGACCACGTTTTCAGCAAACATCCGGACGGACGGGTACGGTCATGCAGCGGGCTTCCGGATAGGTGCTGTCGTCAGATGCTTGTTTTGAGCCGCATGTGAGGTGACAGCGGTGTTTCGTGGAAGTTACGGTCAGTGAAAGGTCTCTACTATCTGTCGGTGGCTGAATCGTATTGAAAGCTGGTGTGATATATTCTACAAGTACGATACCATCGAACTGCGCCAAAGTAGCCATGATATACCTTGTCAATTGATGTTCTGGTCGGTTCTCGGTGACTCGTGAAGACGACTTTAGATTTTCACTCGTGTAAGCATGCCAAATATTAAGAAAGCATCGTATAACCGGGGAGTTTGAAATCCCATAGCACTTCTGCAAGCCGCTAATTCACCGCAACGTTGGTCTTGCATCTCGTTCAGGTAGACCGGGGTTGGTATTGGCGCCCGGATTTCGATCTAGTGCGGCTCTTCCATGGCTCACCGTCGAAGTTCATCGATCTAGCAATTTCAAACCGAAGTGACTAAGATACGCGACGACCGTGACAAATGCGCCATCTAATGGCAAATCCGAAAACTCTAATATTAGCTGCCTAACACGAGGTGTAGTCACGCCCAAGAGATAGACTCAGCTCTCGCTTAATTTCCGCGCTGAGCTCGCGCGAGCTCATCCGACCGCTTCAGATCGTGAGTGACAGGACGTACGGTCTTGCTATGGAGTCATACTCACAGTTGAATCGAACAAGCCCCTGAATTAGATTATCAATAGCAGATATGTCTGCAATCGGGGGGGTTTGTCAGCGACGGCAGCCTGCTCGCTTGCTTGCTTAGTGACAATGGGAACAGGGGTCTTCTTGGGAAATCAGCCTTCTTTCCAGAAGATTACCTATTCCAGCACCCCGGTTTCCGATTACAGTATTACTTAACGCCTATCGGTCAGAGCGTGCACAGACGATGAGCTAATGCAACCCTGTGGCAAGGAAGTGAGTCTTGAGGAAAGCATACCAGCGGTGACATTGCATGTTCATGGGCGCCCAGCGGTGAATGCAAATGCTTTGTGGTGGCTGTGTCTGAACGCAGACACAATAGAAGTATCGTTCTTCAGTGCATAAACAGATTGAGGTGGTCTGGAAGGTGAACGTGATAGATTGTAGAACATTAGCGACGGTCGGCAGAGGCACAGACACGTATAATTGACTGACTCGCGTACCCTTTACCGCCAATTACTGACGTGTATTTCGAGACTGATTAGCCATGCTTATGCAATCAACTTGATCGCATTTTGGGAGTCGTTCTGCATCAGTGTAGATATTTTTTAGAGGGAACCTAATATCGAATACTTTCTTACGGTGACGCAGCACGTTGCAGCACATGATCTCAAGAGTCCTCGCCCAAAAGCCATGCAAGTTCAACAGTGCTGTAAGATGCTGAGCTTGGCACAATCTGTATCGCAATGCTATATGAACTTGGCATCTTAGTCCCAGCGTGCGGTCCGATCATTCTCTGCCGAACACTGACGACAGGGCTGAAACAAGGATCTAACATGAAGCGAACAACAACGAGCGATGGTTGTCGACTGAGATAAATCTTGACGCGGTGAATGACGATTAAGCCATGATGTAGTTAGCGCACGTTTGAATCGGGTTAACAGAAATTGCAGCGGAAGTCACGGGATATTGCGTCTACATATAGCAACATCCATACCGCGAGAAAAGGCGTCAAGAGGCACCTACGGGAGAATCGATGGTGGGAGATGTTGATTTGCTTCAGGTGTGGTAACGCAACCCTGTTCGGTATCACCCATCCCCAATTTCACTGTGCAAAAGTCAGGTAATTTGTCAACCCTCGAGTAGAGTGTGTGTACATGTTGTGAGAAGCTTACCAATCTTCATGGGACCTTCTGCGTTACAATGCTACACCCCATGATGTACATGTACCGGAAGCTGGGCCGGAGCCATAGCTTCCTTCAATTTGGGGCGTCTTTTTCAACAAAGTTGTATCAAACACTCCCGGCTTTCGGCTAGTCAATCTCAGGATTCCCGCAACGCCTTAGAGGGGTTGCGCATCTGACTGTGGTACTTGCTTAGAGCAGAGGTATCCCAGACCAATAGACTATGAGGCGGTCCCGTTATCCTTTTCCTTGTCGAGCAATCCCATGACGACCTCGACAACTCTCCGAAAGCCTTCCATCTCTTCCTCGACCGTACCACCCATACCAGTGCTGACGAAGCTTATGGAATTTCCTACATAAGCTGGCTTGTTTGTTTTGCGAGCGAGTAATTTCGAGAGTCGTGTCGTGAAATCGAGAGTAGCTCCGTGTGTGAACAGTGGTGTGCTCAGAGTGTTGCTTGGTGATGCTGCCTAGTCACCTGTTAGCAACACCAATAACGAAGCATATCATTCCAAAGGGTTTTGCATTCAACAGGGGGGGCTTAGACTGACATTTGGCATAGCGTACACAAAAGACCCTAGAGGGGACGCGGACGGTGATTCGGGGGAAGCTGAGGTGAGAAACAGCAGCAAGTTAGGGCCATTGTCGGTAAGCTGGAGGTGGATGTTCGTATGCGGAGCTTTTGGCAGCGGAAAGGAGACCTCAATGGGCGCGTGTGACGCGTCACCGTTATTCAGTGTCGCTGCCATCGCGTCTTTGTTGGTGATGTCGTGGGGACGGGGAAGCGGCGCGGGGCAATCTCGCCGGAGGCCCATTCGGAGCAATGTCGGACCTTGCGATTGTTGCTCAACTCCCTCGTCCTCCCTCTTACACATCACACGTCGATCTGCATCTGCGTAGATCCTTGCGCACAAACATTTCTGTGTAGATCGCTCGAAAGTCTCGGCTGGGAGCCCACTTGGAAGAAAGAAAAGCGAAATTCTCGACCACTTTGCGCAAGCTCATGATCACACGCAAGGAGTCGAAATGACCGAGAAAGAATGGGAAGGCGATTTTGATCCTATGGCAGATCCTGACGAGCAAAGACACCTTCTCTCCGTTCTGGATTCATTTCGGTAGGTATCTACGAAGATCGTTAAGGAAAAGTAGAGCGAACACTAAACCCTGACCAGGTCCTACCGGCGGCTGGCTCACTTCAACGGTACTCATGTTCGACGACAAGCTTTCTATTCGCTACCGCAGGAACACTGGATGCTCCTCTCCAAACCACCATTTTCGATTCTAGAAACCTTCTCCAAGCTTGATGACCTGATCGACGGCAACGCAGAGTTGGCCGAAGCTATCTTCAAGGCTGGCTTCCAAGCGTTCTTAGCACCCACTCTTGATAGTGAGTGGGTCGCCTCCATTGTGCCCGAAAAGTATGTCTGTGATGAGTACCAGATCTACTCCATCGTTATGGATCATATGAATGTGAAGACATCAAAAAACGACATGGAAAAAGCGCGGAGTTGCATCAACCAATTCTATCGAGAGTGGAGTGAAGAGGGGCAAGTCGAGCGGTCGAAGTGCTTTGATCCCGTCATCTCAGCCCTACAGACTGAATTCAGTCTACGCAAAGAAGATCAGCCCGAACTTGATCGATCTTCCATGAACGTGCTTGTACCTGGTGCTGGATTGGGCCGATTGGTCTTTGACATATGTCGTGCTGGGTTCAGCGTTGAAGGTAACGAGATCTCGTACCACGAACTGATGGCTAGTTCCGTCATACTCAACCACACGCAAAATGTTGGCCAATTCAGAATTGCCCCCTTTGCATTGAGTTGCTCAAACCACATCTCTCGCACGGACCAGCTCCGTACTATACAGATTCCCGACGTACATCCAAGCACCGAGCTGGCAAGTGCTAATCAGTCCAATGTACCGGCTCATGAACGCATGAGCATGGCCACAGGCGACTTCTGCATCCTTTACAGTCAGGCCGAGTACGCGAACACTTTTGATGCTGTAACTTCAGTCTTCTTCATCGATACTGCTCCAAACATTATCCGTTATATCGAAACCGTACGAAATTGCCTCAAGCCTGGCGGCTTATGGGTCAATTTGGGACCACTATTGTGGCACCATGCGCCGCACAAGGATGATGATGACGAGAGAAAAGAGAAAAGGACTAGAAATCAAGTTGACGATGCCGGCATTGGGGACCCTGGCTCAATTGAGCTTAGCAATGAAGAAGTTCTTGCTCTTGTACAACATTTTGGGTTCACGATCGAGAGGGAAGAAATTGGCAGCTTTGAGACAGGGTACATGACGAACCCCAAAAGCATGCTGCAAAGCAACTATAGACCAGCATCCTGGACAGCAAGGAAAAAGGAGGATGACAGCTTGAGCTAACCACGATCTCCTCGGGGCGATGATTATCCCTGCGTTGCAATATACAAAGGGTCCGAGAACGATCACAATCAATGTACGTGCTCGAGAACATTTTAACCGATCATAGCTGGCCTGCCTGACTGCAACCGATCTTGCTCTTGCGAGAAGCTCGTATAACTTCTTGTGCGATTCTACCACCTTCGCCGCAATGGATATCGAACCAGTTTTCGATGTGCAAGCGGGGTTCTTCTAACCCCACATTCTGTTATGTACCCCGAGCTAATGTGTGGCGCGCAGAGTGTGGTACAGGAACTACTCCCGGCGGTAAAAGTTTAGCGAGCTGGCCCGTGCCTCTAATCAGCAAAGTTCCAAACCTAACAATATGCGATGGATAAATGACGCTGGCTGCTCCTTCGACGAATTTGGCCGCAAATATGTTTCAGCGCAGGTGTGCGGCCGCGAAATGAGCTACTTGATGCATTCGAATATGTACTGTGAGTAGCTCGCGCAGATTTGGCCGGCAGCATGAAGACCATCTCTGGGTTCAAGCCCGTGGCTAACATTTGGGTACCCACGTCACTACTGCTTGCCGAACGTTGCTGGAGATGAGCCGCCGGGTATGTGAGCTTCGCATCACCAAGCATTGACCACCGTGTATCTTACGTTGGCAAGCTTTGGTCGATCACTGACTCGTGCGTCAGCATGTAGGTACGGATAGGACTATGATTATCACAATCCAACTGACTATAAAGACTGAGCAATAGTCCAGGTCTCCAATGGCAAGTCGTTGAGCCATTCAGCTACTCCTGTCAGACAAACTCGCAACAATGCTGTCCCTTCTTTTGACTAGCACTCTTCTTTTGGCGCAGAAGGCCTTCGCACAGTCTTGCGTTTCAGAGCCCAAGCCATGGGGTTTCTTTACCAACAATACCATTTACCAGACTACCGGAGTCGAGGGGATCACCTACCCTCGCTTCGTCGAGTTGGATGATGGCACTATCCTCGCCACCGGCTCGCTCTTAGGCCACACTCCTGGCTACTTCCCAATCCTCGAGAGTACTGATGGCGGTGCAAGCTGGGAGTACATCTCGGACCTTCGCGACCAAGTCAATGGTGCTGGCATGAGTGCGCAGCCTGCTCTTGCGAAGCTCACGAAACCCATGGCCGGCTATCCAGCTGGCACCATCCTGGCGAGTGGCAATAGCTGGCTCAACAATGCTACGAGAATCGACTTGTATGCCAGTACAGACAAGGCTAGGACTTGGGAGTTTGTAAGCCACATCGCTGAGGGTGGAAAAGCCAACACCACCAACGGCGAAACACCCATCTGGGAGCCGTATCTCTTGTGAGTCAATCCCATGTGTTATCAAGAAACGAGGTTCTAATGAACATATCAGGCAATACGAGGGCGAACTCATTGCCTACTACTCCGATCAGCGCGACCCCAAGCATGGTCAAAAACTCGCCCATCAGACATCCACAGATCTCAAGACCTGGGGACCTGTCGTCAATGATGTCACCTACGACCAATACATGGCTCGTCCCGGCATGACCGTCGTCGCCTATATCCCACCCCTCAAGAAGTGGATTCTCGTCCACGAGCTACCCGTTGGAAACTCTTCGTCCTACGGCTCTAACTATCCTGTGTACTATGTTATGGCCGACAAGCCTACGGAATTTGGAAATGAAAAGGGGCGCCCGATCGTCATCAACAATTCCACTGTACCCAATGCTTCGCCGTATGTCGTCTGGTCGCCCATCGGCGGACCAAACGGTACCATCATCGTCTCAGATGCCGACCGCCCACAGGTATACACCAACCGCTGGGGCGGTGCGGAAGACAAGTGGGAAGAGCATGGAACACCAGCCGGTTCTGTGTACTCGCGCGCAATCCAAATCTTCGAGAAGTACCCGAACAAGCTGATGATCTATGGAGGCGAGACGTACGACAATCTGCGCTCTGCACTGCACACGCCTTTGAGCGCGACGGTGGTCAGTCTGGAGCAAACTCTACGGACGAGCGTGAATGGGACCATTGGTGGAGCTGTGGAGGAGCCCTTCCCGGGAGTCCCTGTTGTTTTGAGTAATCCGTCTTAGGGAGGAGAGATGGTGAACTCAGGCGGCTTAGTAATGTGGCAGATTCCATAAGCTGTATTAGCAGTACAAATTCGACTATATAGAATGAGGCGATAACCAGGTATCGAAAGTGACGCATGTTTCATCATAACCTCGTAAATTGCATGCACGATGTGCAGGCAACCCGCTCGCTGAATTACGCTCAAGAACCCATCCCCTAATCCTTCTCCCCTCCCTACCTCATAACCGGCGCTCTACTCTCTCGATTGAATTCCATCCGACTACATAACCACTCCACCGCCTCCCTAACCCCCGTCCCCGTCAACGCACTACATGGCAACACCCTACTATCCCTCACATTCCCCCCCTTCTCCCCCTCAAACACCTTCCGCACAAACCCCTCTTTAATCCTCACCACCTCGACGCAATCCTCGCGATCCTGCTTATTCGCCAGAACCAAAATCGGCACGCCGCTCGTATCCTCATTCTCAAGCACACTCTCCAGCACCAATCTACACTCGTCCAATCGGCCCGTATCTAAATCCGACGACGGCGTGGATGAGAGCTCGGATAAAGTGGCGTTGCCCACGTCGCTGCTGTCAATGACGAAGACGATGGCATGGCACGAGGAGAAGTAGCTTTGCCACAGGCCGCGCAGGCTATGTTGCCCGCCGACGTCCCATATCTTGAGGTAGATGTTGGGTTTGGGGAGTTCGACGGTTGCGACGTTTTGGCCGACGGTGGGCACGGTTTTGAGGTTGGGGTGCGAGGGCGTGTAGGCGGCTTTTATCTGCTCGAGGAGCGTGGTTTTGCCGGCGTTGTCGAGGCCGAGGAGGAGGACGGAGTATTCTGTTGTGGGTGTTAGTGGGTGTGAGGGAGATGGACGTAGATTTGGAGGGAGGGCAGGGTGAAGGTCGGAGTCACGGACCTTCCTTGCTGGTGGCATGTAGATATATGGATTTGAAGAGGTGGTACATTATGGACGGGACGCCGCGTCCGACTGGTTCACATGGTTAACGTGGTGTTGGCGCGTGGGTGTGGAGAATGAGACCCACATGAGCTTGCGGGTGGCTTATCGATAAAGCTGTCCTTTCCCCATGCGCCTCATACATCATACCCATAACATGCTCCAGATAGGACTTCACATTCATTAGATGAAAGCAAGTTGAAAGAAGTATTGCTGCTGGCAACTTGCCCATCACATCGCCTTCCTCGGCGACATCTCATTATAATATTATACTAACAGTTACAGTGGTGATACACACCTGTCCGGCAGGCCCATAAGCCTACACCAATGTTACAACAAATACTGATACAATCATAAAGCGTCCGCGCATCGTGCGCAAGTTCGCTTCTGATCATATCCTCGCGAATTGCCGTCTATGATGTTACACTTGAACGCCATCAAGATAGATCCCAATCCCAATCCCAATCCGTGTTCCCAGGATTCCAAAACGCCTTGCTGAAAAGTGGAGTGTTGTTGTTACAATGTTCTTACACGACCTGAAAGTCCAGGTCTAGAGTCGATCGCATGAGCTTTTCGCAGCTCACGCCATCTATTACCATGCGCGCGGGCATTATTATGGATTACTTTAGTTTGCTTGGGTTTGGCGACATGGGGAAGAGGCGACACCCGTCCTTCATCTTCTTCGCGAAGACCAAGTACGCCTGGAGCGCTTCGACTTGTGTCGCGTACGTCTTCTCGCGGTTCATCCACATCTTCAGGTACTTGTCCGAACTCAGGTCCTTGAGCGCGGCATACCACTGCCGGTCCTTGGATGTCTGTCGACACACGACTGCGAGGTTCTTGCCGCCGAGTCCCGTCACGCCGCTTACTAGCTTTAGGCACGAGGCCTTCAGCTCGGTGATCTCGTCCGAAGGCTTCTCCTTTGGCGACTCGTCGTCGGTCGAGCCATCGGATGACGAGCTGCTCGCGATTCTAGAGAAGAAACTTGAGCGCACGGGTGTAGAGGGGACGCTCTTCGTCGCCGCGGGTTTCGAAGGCGTCTTCTTCGAGGAAGGGACGGTTTTCGCTGATTCGGTTCGCGACGGCTTCGGTCTTGATGGCGCGTCCTTTTCCTTGTCTTTCGACGAGCCGCTCTTCGATGTCTTCGTTTTCGGCGACTTGGGCGGTTCCGTCTTCGATCGCGACAGCTTCGGCGGCGCGCTGTCTGGGAACGCGCCGATGGGAGCTTTTGGCGAAGTTTTCGCAGGCGCAGGTTTGGACGCGGCAGGTTTCGAGGATGATGCCTTTGGTGATGTGGGTTTTGACGGAGCGATTTTCGGCGAAGGAGGTTTAGATTGGGCAGCAGCTTTGGGCGGAGCAGCCTTTGGGATGATGACCTTGGGCGGCGGCGAGTTGATCTGCGCGGCCGGCGGTTGTGCGGTCAATTGCCCATTCGCTATTTGTCTCGCGCGTTCCTTGACACTGAGAAACATGTTGAAAAGCGATATAGATCGATTTGTTATCAAGCAATGTTGAATGCTATCGCGATCAGACGCTCCGGGGAACTCGATCGTTTTGATGGGAAATAGGCTGCCACGGCGCTCCGGCCATCCTGCGCACACCCCAGGGCCTGCTAACACAACACAGCCGAGATTTGGCTGACTACTACTGGTAGCATTTCAGGAGATGTGGCAAACTGCGGAAGGTTGCAATTAGACCCGCGCACGTTGTGCCTGCTGGGCGGTGCGGCACGGGAACCGGTGGGCGGACGAGGCCTGGAAACGGGCTGGGGGAGATTATAGGGGGTACGTCGTACAGAAGACGGGTTTTCGGAATGACAACAAACATTCTCTTCGCGAATACAGGTTCGGGTGTAAGATGTTTGTTTGCATGTTCCCGTCAGAGGTGGGTCGTTATGCAGAGATCGGCGAACGGGTGCGTGTGCTTTGCATGCAGTATGCACGACATGTGGACGGGGACATGGTTCTGCTGTCAGAAGTGCATCGCAACGGTGCGCTAACATAAGATTGGATGCGGCATCAACTCCTTTTCCGTTACTGTGTAAGCAAATCAAACATGAATTCGAATGCGCCAACCATAACTTGATTGAAGTAGGCAGCTTTATAGTTCCTGGCCCGTTTCAAGCTTGTATTCGTCTTGTACATAATTGGAAATATCGCCCACACCAAGAAGCCGGTCATCTCACCTAAATATGTATTTTACCTCTTTCTACCATGTCCCAGATTAATGGATTTCACCTGTGCACTTCATCATTGGCACCCGACTTCTACGATGTCGATTCGACAATATACCGATATATTCTCCCGCACCCTGAGGTAGTCTCCACCATCTGGCGTTGTGTAGCGTCGGAGGGTAGGTATACACGAGTGATATTTCCAAGGATCAAGCTGTAGAGGCCAGCGGTACATCATGGGGCACCTGCCGCAATCTACCCTGTTATCGTTTCCAGCCTTCCCTCGCTGTACATGCCCACATGCTGGGCATAGCGTTTTCTTCACATTCGGCGTGGCAGTCACAATCATACTCATCTCTACGATTTGTCCGGGCTGAGATTTCCGTTAGCTGTTATCATCGGCGCTCGGCCAGCAGGGGTCAGAACCTTGAAGGCATTTGCCCATGCTCCATTTAAGTCGATCTGTTTCTGCTGACAATGCTCGTACATGACGAAGAGTTGACGCCGAATCCTCACCAACGCATGGTATCCTTTCTCCTTGAAGCGTATCTCGAGCACTGCGAATAAGGCCTCGAAAGAGTTTATGAAATCGAGGTGGAATGGTAACCTATTTTCGTCGAAAGCATCGATCAGAATGATGGGTCTTCGTAACAAGATTTGCGCTGGTATCTCCTCGTGTGCTTGTACCATTCCTTTCACCTCGACCAGGTGAGTCTGAATGCTCTTCTGTTGCACGACTAATTGATCCATTGTTCTCTTCATCGCGTCTTTATCAGCCAGAACTTCTTGAAGAAGGCGAAACATGGTATGCTGCATATCTGGCGACAAGCCACTGTATTTTCACATCAGCCGCGAAGCGAATATGCCACAAAGGAAAGCCTCACTGTTTCATTTGCCTTTGTATCTCGTCCATTTGAGATGAAAGCGTCGAGATGGCTTGGCTACTCGAAGCCGTACAGGCTTGCACATCGGCCAAGGAATGCTGTTGTGCATTATGTAAATTCTTCATTTCCTCACTGAAACTTTCTTGCAGCTGCGTACTGTCGTCCAATCTGGTGGCGAGGCTGTGAACATCTGCCCTGGTGGACTTTGCAATCTTTCGGTCCTGAAACTGGGCGCTTCTGCTACCAGTTAGCCCTGATGTTGATCGCGAATTCAATGATACTCGCATCTGGAAGACTGCCAACTGAAGCTGTAATGCACTGACGTGGACCTCGAGATGGTCCCTAAATTTCCGCACATCATCCTTCTTAGTTAGGGAATACTGTATCTGTAGGACCGCAAATTGTACCCCTGTTTGTTCCTCCTCGACCAGTTTTCAGCAACTCAAACTTCTTAAATCCGACCAAGAACCTTTTGACACACTCTTTGCAATTGGCTACCTCATCGCCCACTGCAATCTGATGCTGCGGTGCAGAAAATTCACCCGCCGCATCCAGCGCCTTCTCTAATACATCGAGTGCCTGTCGAAGCTCCGAGTAATCCGCCTTTGCACCTCGCGCATCGGAAAGAGAATCAACTACACTTTTCAGCAGCTTGATGCCGGCAATGAAGTCGCCAACCGAAATGCCGAATGGTACGACCATGGCCGCTTCAATGATCAGCCCTGCTCCTACAAACCACCACGGGTCTTTTTTCGCTAATGCTTGATTTTCCTAAATGTTGCAATGGAAGTCGAAGAAGGGAAGTCCTTTAGTGAACACAAAGAAAAGGCGCTTGAAACGGGCGTGAAGATACCCAGGCACAGCTATCGGGCTGTACATTTCCTTGGCGACAGCTGATGATGTGGCGGGATTACAGCCTTACCATTTGGCATGTGTATGCAAGTTCTCGGCTGAGCATCCAATGAACAGCAAGATCGTTTGGCATCGCATTTGTACAGATCATTGAGTGATAGTATAGCGTAGGAATGTTTCCGAACTGATACACGGACAGGAGGTACTTTGGAATTGTCAGCCACTATTGTACCACAGTATGGTACCCTTCAAAAGCTAAGTAGGACTTCCGAAACATGAGTACTCACCACTAAGTTGAGGCAGCCGCGAACCATGAAAAGGCCGCGCACGCACCTTACTAGATATCAATGACTCATACAATCTCGAAAGAATTAAAAGATATGATTCGCCCTTCCAACACGTATTCTCGCGAAGCCGCTTCAACTTCACCAGGCAAGCCAACTGCTGAGATCTGGAGACTCATGTATTCTCTTCTTTACCTAAACAATTCTCAGCCACAGAAAATCTCCGTGAAGACTATCTATGACTGATGCAGCGTCACACGTCGTTGCACCTACAGCAACACACACGCACACCATGATCCTCTTGCATGGTCGCGGAAGCAACGCCGCCGAGTTCGCCTCTGAATTCTTCGAGAGCCAGGCCAGCGATGACCGTTTCCTTACACAAATCTTCCCAGGCTACAAATGGGTCTTTCCATGTGCTGCTATCCGATATGCGCAGAGCGAAGAAGAGGACATGCATCAGTGGTTTGACATGGTCTCGGTGCAAAAACCTTGTCATGATCCGGAGAACATACAGATTCCCGGTATGCGAGAAAGCGTATCTTTGATCAGTGATATCATCAGGAAAGAGGCAGTTGAGATAGGAGGTCTGGATAAGGTGTTCTTAGGCGGCATCAGTCAGGGATGCGCAACGGCGATTTCAGCACTCTTGACAGTTCAGGATCGGATAGCGGGTTTCATTGGGTTCAGTGGCTGGTGTCCATTTAGCAAGGTTGTTTCCGACAGCCTGTCTGGAGATTCGGACAACATGCGAGCGCTCTCGACGTGGTTACAAGAAAGACGATCCTCTTCTCGTGCCGCGGGAGCTCCATTGGAAGTATCGGAAATTACATCGTCTTTGTTGACGCCCGTGCTGCTTCAGCACGCAAAAGATGATGGAGTGGTGCCGGTAGCCCTGGGCCAAGATTTGCGCAACAAGCTAGCGGTTCTAGGGACAGATGTTCAATGGCGTGCATATGAAGAAGGTGGTCATTGGATCAACGAGCCTAACGGGATCGACGACATGATCAATTTCATCAATTCAAGCGCGAAGAAGTAGCTAAATCATACGAACCTCAGTCGCTTGGTGCCGCCAACAAATTCGCCAGAGGACGTGGTTTGACACTGACCAGCCAGTTTACCAACTCCATAGCTAGTGCTTCAGGTTGGTCGTACATGATAAGATGTCCGGCGTCCTCAATCCGCACCACTCTTTTCGCATTAAGCGCCATTGCAAGCCGCTCAGCAGTCTCGACCGGTATCCATTGGTCCTGCTCACCCCATACGATTTGAACAGGTATCTCGCTTCCGATTGACCAATAGAGATGCTCGACATCCTCCGTAGTTCGCGAATTCGCCTGACAAAGCTGACGAACAAACGCAACCTTCCCGTCTTCGTACTTCCAGCGCCCTTTGAGCATCTCCATGGTCTCTGAGGACAAGTCTTTGAAAGCGGCGTCCCGTATGTACGACTCTAATATGCCCTCGAAGACACTGTCTGGTAGGTTCTCGAAGATTTGGGGGTTCTCAGCGACGGTCTTGAACAGTGGCTGGCCAAAGGGTCCTATCGCGACGACATCGATCAGACAAAGGCTTGCGAATTGACAGGCATGGATCGAGAAGGCGCGCAGGGCCATCAAGCCCCCATGGTCGTGCGCAATAACATGAGGCTTCCAGTTCCCATGCAAATTATCCCACTCCTTGTACAGCGCTGCGAAAGCCCGAGACTGCCTCTCCAAGTTGGCATCGAGCCTTTCCACCTCAGTTCTGGAAGAGTCGGATTCTCCGTATACTTCTTCCTCTGGTGGTGAATCGCCGAAGCCGGGGCTATCGAAAAGAAAGACGTGGTAATGCCTGGCAAGGGCTAGGGCAAGAGGTTTCCAGACGCGTGAGGACCATGGGGTGCCGTGAATAAGAATGACTTGTTGGCGGCCAATACAGCCGAAGGAGCACCATTTGATGTTGTAGTGATGCGTTCTTTGGGTTGTCTGAAATGACCAGTGGAAGGTTTTAGTCAAAGCAGTTGGATCTATATTCTCGGTAGCCATAGTAGACATGTTGGTAGAGCGGAAGATGTGTTTGAATGTTGTTCAGAGCAAAGTGGGTTTGGCAGAAGTTATTATAGTTGTTGCGGAGATTCCTGTGAAGGGTCTACATACGTAGAAGTGACCATGCTGCCCGCCTAGGCGAGCCTTGGAAAGAGCATGTGTGCTTTCGAAGGCACGAATCGTCAATCTGATCAAATGCCAGCAGAGCCATAATTGGACATATACAGCACAAGATCCGACAATCAGAGTATGGATCTGCGTGCTTGATAATGCGATGATGAAGAATGCACTGATGTCATTGTGGTTCTTAAAGTGACCAATGAGCCACTAGCGTCAACGCCGTTGGCGTGATTGAAGTTTGCCGGAGGACGGGTGAACTCAAAACACCACCTCCCCTAATTCATGTCGAACGCCGGGCTTACCCGTTGCAAACCATTGTACAGACGCCGCCTGAGACGCGCATGCTGTCTTGCCCGAAGTCATGATCATCCTCAGACTGCAGCTTGAGCCCGAGCGCTGAATGCGCTCAGCATGGTCATGTTTTTATTCAAAATGTTGTCACTCTTGGTCTTGATATGTATGCATCAACCGCAGGATTGGAGTGCCTTTATACGTCGGAATAGCAGTCCACAACACATACGGATTGCGAACTATTCCAGAAAACGTTTGCAAAGAAGCATATAACAATCTGACCAAGGTCGGAGGCTGCTATGATATCATCGACTAAGCTGTCAGGTTTTTCAGCCCCTATACATTACGAGTGACGGACATGATGTTTCCAGATCGCCACCCGAGCGAGGTCAGGTTCGAAAATTCCCCCAGAAACGATTACGATCCTTCACTTCCTGGAATCCTTGCAGAGTGAGCAACCTAGTTGCGATGCTCGATGAGCATGCCTCGTGACAGCTCGTCCGCAAACATTCGGAGACATCACAAATCTACTGTTAGCCTTGTACTTGGTCTACGGCGTCTCTCCCTCGTGTTCCATTATCTATCGTATTATACACAGTGAAAAGACCGGAGCTACAGCGAGCACGAACTCTATGAGGTCACATACCGCTAGTGCGGCCCTCCACGAGGTGAAAGTGAAAGAGCATGATCGAAGCTACCCAGCCTCCCGGATATATATATATCTCGAGTTACCCCAAGAATTAGCCCTCCTCTCCACAATCCTTCCCTCCGATCACCTCAACCTTCACGCCCGCCAGCACTCAGCATACAAAACCTATCGCATCTTCACTTCCTATCAACCTCCCCTCTTCGAAAACCACCAACAGTCCCTCCACCAAACAAAAAAACAATGGCCGGCATCAAGCGTAGCCGCGAAGAGTTCAGCGCCATTTCCGGAACATCTCCAGTACCGGCCGAGACCGGAGATGCCCACTACAGCCAACAAATCCCACCCAACCGCGAAAACGGCGACACGCATGCGAGGAAGAAGCTCAAAGTCAAAGACACCACCCCTCAAGAAGGTCAGGGGCTCGTGCCTCCCCTCGCGATTCCAAAGTCCGTAGCAGAGACACTTGCAGAACAGAAGAACACCGCTCAACAGAAGCGCCCGATTGCATCTGCAATTGCAACTAATGCGGATGAAGATACAAGTGATGCGTCAAGTGTGGATGGAGACAACAACCGGAATACACAGGTCGCACAGCAAGTTCCACTTGAGGCCCCGTTGCCAGTGGTAGAAAGAGTACCGACTCCAAGGGTACCGTTCACCCTCCTGGCTCCGGTTCTAGCCGCGGATATGGCCAATAATCCGTATGCCCCAACCGATTCCATTGCACGGCAGCACTACCTCCAGGAGGTAGGGCAGCTACAATTGCACCCCACACTGACTCCTCAAAACACGCCTCAGTCCAGAGTGTCACAACAAATTCGAGACGTTATCTACGAGAGGCTGTTCCTGGGCTTCACGAATGGCGAATGCATACCGACATATAATGCTCATGGAGGGAATGCTAATTCGGGTGCAGCCATCTCAAAGGTGACTTTGCCCGAGATGCCAAAGTGGTTCGCCGAAGAAGGTGTCGTTCTACCATGGTCAGCTCGCAAAGATTCTGACAAGAAGAGGCTAAAGGATCTAAAATTGGGACCGAAGAATTTTCCTGCACCACATGCGACCAAAGTCGCTGTCCCTGGAGCTGTGAAGGCTCCTAAAACATCAGCGACCACCCGAGCAAAGATCAATCCCACGACACCAACAGTTAGCAAGCCAGCCGAGAAAGTTCCTAATCCTGTCACTGCTGCAAGGGCAGATCCCGAAGATTTGCAGATGTCAGACGAGAATGAGTCCGTGGCGCAAGACCGCAATCGTGTAGATTCGCCACACGAGATGGGCATTGAGCGTGATGAGAATGAAGCCGAGACAGGACCACAGGTTGCCTTCGAAGGCCAACATGGCTTTTATGTGCCCCACTTGCTCGTCCGTGCGGGTATCAACACCTTTGCTGTTGGTGGCGATGGCAATGAAGCCATTGTCGAAATGGTCCTTGGTGGAGAGAAGTACAAGATCCACAGTAACGCGCTCTCCAAGCATTGCGGTTTGGTCCGAAACGGGCTTGAAGAAGGGTGCTTGTATGCAGATCCTGCACTGAATCTGGAAGGCCTTCCAAACCCCGTCATTGTTAGAGCCTTTATCAATGCCATCTCACCCACGCCGATGCCTGGCCTGCCAACGCACGATTTCGAGTTCGACGAGACATGCACATGCGAGCTATACGAAGCCCAAAGCCCACTGAATCTCGCCAAGCTTGAAGATGAAGCGTCAAATGTCACAATCAGGAAGATTATCTGGAACCTCGATTCGTGCATTCAGATGTACGACTTCGCAAAGACTCTAGACTGTACCATAGTCAAGGACATGGTCATTGACCGTATCTCGGAGATCTTGAGCGAAGACGAGGACAACACAGGAGATGAACAAATCGACCTTCGACTGCACGAACTCTGCGCTTGGTCCGTTGCCGAGGACGCGAAGATCCTTCGCGCCATTGCTGACCACCACATGGCACGACTTTGGCCGGAAGACGGTGAGAAGCCAGAGGATATGGAATGGCCGGAAGAGCTAACGGAGGAGCAAATCAAGGCCATCTACGAACTTTGCTTGATTAAAGAGGAGGATTAGCCAATATTTGAGACACCGCAGGACCACTGTTCGTGGTACCACACGCATAGAGAAGATGAGCCTTGCTACAAAGAGCTTGCAAAAGACTGGATGGCGGAGACACACGATATGCTCCCCAGTATGTATGCCGACCTTCGCAAGCGAAGCGCTGCAAGGAACAAGAAAGAGGCTGAGGAGCACCGAAAGGTATACCCACGCTCAACACACAATCGGCGCCTCTATATACTCCAGGGCGAATTCATGCAGTGGTCACTCAGACAAGAAGAGATGATCGCGACAATCTGGTGCGAGGGTTACGCACACGCCATGACGATTCCATACGGCCCAGCTCGTGAGGCGGACAAGAAGCTCCGGAAATTGGAGCCTAAACTCAGAAAGCTGGAGTTTGATTACAACCGGGGCGTCAGGTATTATCTTGGACGCTTTGTGCTACACGATGGGACTCAAGACATCACATATGGCCGGGATAAGAACACTTGGCCGTACTCCAGTGGCAATTGGACATCCGAGGTCTTCAATGAGCAGGTGAAACCATCTCGACCGGTGACGAGTTCTTGGTAGGCATAGGGATGAAATGATCGGATGTTCAAGAGAGTTTATTTGGATACAGGCATATATGATATGGCCTACTTTGGTAACGCTGACTGTGAAAGGCTCTACACGCTGATTTAAGAGGGAGAAGGGATTTCAGCTTTTACAGAGTAGCTAGACCCAGGGAACGAACGCAACTTTTAATACATATTCTCTCCGGTGCAAACAAGTCTAAAATCATGACATCTGAGAGTTAAATGTTCATCCAGATGAGTACGTACAATCATCACAGGTACCTAGGTGTAATTCGCTATCAGACAAATATATGGGGTCTCATTAGGTACTGCTACCTGAGGCCCTTTCACCTCCCATTTTATAGATCATACCCACTTTTCTTAGCGATGCGCTCCGGCGACGTACCCGCTCCTGCCTTTACTTTGAGCCGTGTCGTCACGCTAACTGCAAACGCGCTCATAACATCTCTTCCTTTTCTCAACCACTCTACCAATCTCTTGACGCTTCTCCATCGCCCTACACACATACCTCCCATCAACTCGTCTACGACACCCGCTCGACCATGCCTGATCTCGCTAGTGTAGTAGCCGCCGACCCCTATAAACAGGCAGACGCCGCTAAGAGCTCTGGTATGGCGCTCTGCTCATTCAATACCACTGCCGCCACTGTGTCTTCTTTCGATGCGACCAAATTCGACTTCATGGGTCTGCCTCCAGAGTTGCGACTTCATGTGTACAACAACGTACAACACATCCTCCGGATCCAGTTACCTATCCGAAAGGTTAAAATCTTCACTCTTGATCTGGATCTCACTCTCTCGAAAATCAGTCGTCAGATCAAGCGTGAGAGAAGTTCAATACCGAAAGTCTCACGTCTGAAGCTCCTTCACACCATCGTGCTTCATGTAGACAATGATAAACTTTAAGAAAGTATGGATACCATGTTCTCAGCCTCTCGTCTCATTCAAGCTATCATAGACGGTGCATTTATGAGCAAATCCGATCCGTCGGATGGTTCAAAACGCATGGCTTTCCTGTGCGAATCACAATTGCAAACTTTTGCCTTGTATATTAGCCGTCATGTGAGAGTGTCCAGAGATATGGGGGAAGCGGATTCTGAGGCGGTGGTCATGGAGGCAGATTTTATGCGCAGCTATTTTAATCACGCTATATCGCAATTACGCGTTCACAAGATATTGGCCATTCACATACTTGTGGACATGGGAAGTGCTGCAGGATTTGAAAACCCGATTGAGTTCGCATCCTATTTCTGGGCAACCATGTCGGATGTCAATCAGCCCAGCCTGGACACTTGCCACGATTTACGTATCCAAGTCACCATTGTTGTTCAGTTGGGAAAAGCAGAGAAGACTCGCACCGCGATGGAAGACGCAACCATCCGCTCAAGATTCGATACATCTCATATTGAGTACACCGTTGAGGAGGTTGCTGGTGAGCTCAATATACTCACTTCGTAGCTTGGGATTGGCGTAAAAGAGCGCGAATGGGGACGATTTTCACGCACAACGGGCACGGGAAAGGGACAGGAGTTTTTAGTAAGAACGGAGTGTGATACAGCCTAATTAGCACGTGGTCTACTTCAAGTCACTCAGCCATTGCGCAAGCAACGTCTCTTGTTTTCAAGGGAGACATGTGACAGCGAGCTGGTCAAAGAACGTACGAATTCATATCCTGAGCCACACTAAGAATATAAATGTGCAATTACCACTAGTTTAAATACCGAGCTTCGAGTTCCCATTCATCTTGGAACCTAGCTGTATATGACCAAATGTTTACTTCCAATGATTGCTGGCGAAAGTACTTAGGCATTCCTGACACTGAAGTGCTGTAGATAATGACATGTATGAGACGCGGCAGAATTATAAATGAAATTGAAATGATAAGACAATGCACATTGTAACCGATAGTCGCAACACTAACACAACACATTACCAATTCGTGCAAGTATTAGTTCACCTCGAGAATTCATTGTTCATCAATGCATCTGCTTGTTAAACGGCACTTGCAAACACGCTAAGCAGTAATCGATGCCTTCCTATTCGGGGTACAAATACGCCCACCTGCAATCGACACCTGGCGTGAACCTACCAGATTAGGAATTACAAATGGCGCCAAGATCTTTAGCGCTGCAATCACGACTGCAAACACGAAAGTTGCGCATGGGTGAGTGAATTTGGTGCCAGGGTTGGAATGGTGAGAGTGAAGATGATTGAGGATGTACAACGTAGTGAAAGAACACAGCACTTTCACGGACTTGATTGCAGGTTAGTGTCATGCGAAGATTGGAACCTCAGAATGTGTGTGTGGTGATGTGTGTTCGTCAGATCGCAAGGTTCCCAAGTTCCTGGTAAAGAAGCGTGCAGACGAGGTTAGTGGTGTAGCCGTCCTCGATGTTACATATTTTGTTCCACGTGAAAGTCTCGTAGTGATGGTACAGCATTTAGTCATGCCACATTCCCTATATGCTTCTTATAACATGCCAGATCTTGCAGTATTTATAAAGGCCATGAAGTAGTATCTCGCGCTCACGCGGTGCTGATCCGCACTGAAAACTGTTCTGCTGGCTGCCATACTAATCTAGCCATTTTCTACCACTCCATCGTCCGCATACAGCCTTCCAGTACGCAGAAACAGCATGAATGAAACCTTCAGCTCTTGCAACACTTAGGCGCTGCTCGAATAGGCTGGTATTTCGTTCCTCGAAGTCGTTTGCAACATATTCGGCAGCCGGAACGGATGGTGCCCAATCCTTATCCCACTCAACAGATTCGATCTCTTCTCCACTTTGAATCTGCGTCGGAAACTCGCCATCATTCGCAATACTATTCTCGAGCCAAGGCTCTGCATCAAATTCCTCTTTTTCTCTCGGTGACATGAGTGCCATACGGAAGTGAACGTCCAGATTGTGCGCTGGCCATCGGAGCGCCTGCAAGCTTAGCTGCTGTGCTTCGTACAAAAGTTTGTCGTAGTGTAGGCGCAGCATGTACATCCTGAGGTAGGTCCATAGATCTTCCGTCGTTCCATGATCTCCGACTGTTCGTTCGTGGAAATCATTGCGTATGGCGATCTGTACTTCAGTGGTCTGGGTGTCAGGTTGCACCTCCTGCTTGCTCTCCTCACTCGACTTTGTGAGCTGATGATCCGACTGGGCGAGGCAACGAACTTCCTGGGTCGAACGAGACAAGCGGACTAGATAGCCGAGGATATCACAATCCATCCCGCTTGTGGTGACAATGATCTTTCGCGGTCGTTGTTGCAGCGTTTTGAGAGCCGGAAGAGCGTAAACACCGGCTTCCGAGTAGATTTGATGACATGTAGCGAGCAAGGCAACATTGTGTGCTTCATATACAAATATGACGGACGCCGCAGGCTTGTTGTGCTTCTGAGCGAGACATGGGTGAGAAGCTTGTGGACCTGTACTCATGCACTCCAACTCATGGTGTGTTCTTGTAACAGTTGCGAACACAACCTCGTACACGATTAGGCGTAATTCTGGTGGGAGGTGGAGGAAGGGGAAAGCGTGAAGGCGGGAGTCGGTGTCGGTGTTTGGTGGCGTTGACTCCATTGAGGGCACAGGCGGGTCGACATATAGTGACTGACTGGCCGAGTCGCGCGCCCAGGTGTCGTGAATGATTGAGGGTTGGAAGAGTTATGTAGGCCTGTAGAGGTAGGTGTGTTGTTTACATGACGTTCTTGCGTCACCAGGTAGGAGCCCTGGAGCGTCCCTGCCTATTTTCAAGTCATCCCCACTCCCACGTGGCTGGATATTTGACGCTTCGAATCTCGCCACGCTCTCACATTGCGATCATGCTTAAGGACCACAGGTGACCTCACCCGCACCAGCTCAACCCGTAATTCTTTCGCGACCAGTCGAGGCAGTGTGCATTGCGCTTCACTGACACCATCCCAATGACGGACCAGCCATTCCGATTCATGGACTTGCCCAAAGAGCTGCAGCTGATCGTATATGAGCACCTGCCTATAGTAACGGCACATTACAAGCTCGATGCGGAGTGGGACGGATGTAAGGAATTTGCAGATATGCGAGAAGCCTTCGAGAATGGCGACAATTACCTATCGCCCGGAGGAGTGGAGGTACCCAAGGATTCTACCATTGTCTTACACCGGAGTATACTCGGTGTTGCCCTACTCAGAACTTCCCTGGAACTCGCCTCCGAGGCTAGCGTCATACTTCAATCCAAACTCGAGGCCCTCCGCACATCACCATACCGTATCATCGCAAACTCGATCGCTCTGTTCCGCTAGACAACAGTAAAAATTATCAGGTGTCTCTCCCATAGTACTTATAGGGTTCAAAACGATATCAGGGTGATGGTAAACGAAGCTCACGATCTCTCTAATCATGAGTGTCTAGACACCAAGTGGAACTTCACTGAACGACATGTTCAGATTGCGGTCTTTAACGACTTTGCTGACAGCATGAACGCTGACTGGGACAAGTCAGATGAAAGGATGCGGCTTCTTGGATCTCAACTCCTACGGGAATGGGTTACAGAGGGCCATGTCATGGCACCACTGGCGCCTGGGCTCTAATGAGTTTCCTAAGACATCCCTCCGAGTCACCACCTGAATGGCGCTACTTTCGGCTCTTGAAAGACAGTCATACGCTAAAGGGTCTCCATTCACCCATGCCGTAAGTTACCAGGAAGGATCAGATACACCACCCCTGTATAGGGGTACCGACGAGCCCATTGAGACTGAAGAATAGGAGGACATCTGGGCGGAAGGCGAGAGGATTGTGACGGCTCGACAGCTTGCACAGTGAGAGGGGCCAACAGGTCCGAAGGTGCTTTCAGAGGACAGCTGTCAATTTAAAGACGAGCTTGAACAGACTCATCAACGCATCAGTGCAAATACTGAGCGCTAAAATGGTCTCATGGTGATCCAGCTTGACTGATTAGCCCTTGGATATAGCTCACAGCACGCTTGAACCGTTGCACGAATCATTGCATCAGGGCCATCAAAGCACTCGCATTGGCTCATGAATTGGAACCGTATGAAATGCATTCAACTATGTAGCTATAATCGTATCCCCCTTCGCCCATTCGATTACTCATCGAATAATTGCAAGCCTGTTTTGACTGTCAGCTGAGTCCAGTAAGAAAGGATGAAAGCAGATCAGAAAATGTCCCAAAGGCTCAGATTATGGTCATTGTTGTCGCTCATTCTAATCGGCAATTAAAACATAGAAAATAAAGTCATCATGTTGGTGCAGGTATTTGTGAGAAGAGAAAAGATCGTACTTACAAATATCTGTGGAGCTTGGCAGGCGTGACACCGGTGCCAGGTCAGAAGACACGGGTGCAGAGGGTGTCTTTCGACAGCACCACGGACAGCTCTGTCGCTAGCTTTGACACAACAAAGGTGTCTTGAAGCAGAGGTGCGCTTCTGGGTGTCCGACAAGGTTATCGCAACCGACAACCAAGGATGCTCTAGGACTATCTTGACCTGTGAGGCATCGCCGGTTTCTGACAACTGAGTGTTGGCCAATGAGCAGCGCGCTTGTAGCTTCACCCTACGAGTGTTGCTGGAGTTTACACGAGTAGGCAGTGGCGGCCGGTGTGCGCACGATCGAGACGCTGCAGAGAGCTCGCATAGAAGGTACGTCGTGGAATCTTGGGGTCGTTACTGAAGGGATCTGCTACTGTATGCTCAAGTAGCATTGATGTTAGTAGGTGTCACATCGCAATCGCTCTGATGTACTCCTCAAATATAGATGGTACACGCGATTTCTAGAATCCGAGACGTTGGGGAAGAGAAAAGTTCGAGCGCGATAAGAAGCGTCAGGCCCGGCGCTACAATTATCCGGTCACGGCCTTGGCATCGTAGCTTTCGATGTTGATGATCACTCCATCTTGCAGCAAATACCGAATCCTCCCATTGGAGGCCAAGACAACAAAATGCGGACTTCATACACATGCAGACAATGTCTGTCGCTTCTGAAGACCTCCCGATCGCAATTGAGGCCCTCGCAGCCCTTCCGACCGCTCACCCAAAATGTTTCTACGCAGCGGAACCACTCCACCAAAGGACCAGCAAACCCGAAACTCGCATTGCCAAAAAGAGCGCTCTCTACGACGCCTAACCGGAAGTTTGATAAGCCATTCGAGCCGTATGAATACATCGACCCCGAGGGTATTCGTCGGACATTGGTCCTGACGGAAGACAACCTGTTCAACTCTTTCACCGACTCGCCAATACCTCAAATACGCAAGCGGGCTGCGTTTATGCGACAACATGCATACTGCCCGCATCCTTCGCATAAGCCGACACGCGCGCCTCATAATTCTATGGACCTCGAAGCCCGCAAGTCATCCGAGACAGGTACCCCGCCAGCCCACGTAGACTTCGAATGCCCAGACTGCGGAATCCCGGTATATTGCTGTGAAGAGCATTGGGCGGACGACTATGAGGCACACTTAGAGGTCTGCGACGTCCTGCGACAATCGAATGAGGACGACCATGATTTGCGCAGTGGAAGGTTCTTCAAGGAATTCCAATTTGCCGAGCCGCAGATGGAGGAGATCTTGGTCAACATGACCAGTTGGGACACGTATCTGTACACGAGAGACTTCGATGCGCTGAACCGGGACCGCGAGATGCGACAGGCGACGAAGCTGTTGACATACCCAATCACGATTGCCAGCGTCTTGAACGAGTTGAGCCCGTACAATCTCAGGAAGAATGGCCGGATGACACCGGAGGGCTTGAAGAGCTTCAGTGGTGAGTAACCGCTCTAGACATGATTCCTGATTTCGACTAACATGACCAGCGCTACGACACACTCTCCATCCACCACGAACTGGAGGCGGCGACACTTGGAAGAACGCCAAGCTCGCCCCTCCCTCCGTACGCCTCTTCATCCTCGGTGCTCGTGCTGAGTCCTCTCTGCCTCGCGAGACATGGATGCAACTTGCATACCTCTTCCACCGCGTCCAATTCACGATAAACTTCATCGGTCCCGAGAGCATGGCGAACCGTGAAAAGGAACTGCCACTTCCCGAGCGCACACCTCTGAACCCCTTCGGCGCCGTCACCGAAGACCGCATATCGAATGCCATGAAGATCAGTACTTTCGTCGAACACTACCACACCTTGCACAAGTCTGGACACTTCTACCCATACGACCCGTACTTTGACTGCTTTGTCGTTTTCCACCCAGGATTCGGCAACCCAGCTGGGATGCACGAGTGGGAAGAGACGATCCCGCTTCTTCTAGAGACAAAGGTTCCGATCATCGCGACAGGATACAGCCCGTGGGACATGCAGCAAGACATCGACCTTCTGAACAAGCGGTACGGGAACGAGATTGACATGCTGCTGGAGCCTGGCGAGAATCTCTTCCGGAGCTTGAGATGGGACCTGAATGACCTCGACCCGCATGATGTGACTTGTAGCAACTGGGGCGTATATGCTTTCCGAGGAAAGAGATACGAGACTACGAAGAAAGAGCCAGAGGAAGAAGTACATAGCGAGCGCACCGCGTAGGTATATTTATAGGTATGTAACATATGTACAATACTCTATGTATCATTTGACATTGCACAACATGCACTGCGACATTGTCAGGGAATACTCACAGCTAAAGTGTCCTCACTTCCTCTGAGCGGTCCCACATGATTAGGAAGAAGTGATGATACTAACAATAAAGTCGCCGCCATGCGCTGCTATTCAACATTAGCCGACCCATGCCAACACCATATCTACCACTCTACTTGTCCTTCACCTCCTCCTTGTTGAAGTCACCACCGTCCCCTTCCAACGGAATATGATTCGTCCTCGAATCGTACACACTCCGATACGCCATTTTGTACGCCATATGCGCAAACAACGTCCCCACCAATGCCCCAAACACCACATCAACCGGATGATGCCATGCATCTCTGATCTTGCTGAGCGCAAACAAGATGGCGATACACCACGGCGCCACAAACAACACAAGTTTCCAATGATGCACCCTCTCCATACCATCTCCCCGCTCACTCCGCTCACTCCGCTCCCACGCCTTGTCTCCATAGTAATCCCGAAAGTGCCCACCCCTTGACAAGACCTTGAACTTCGCATTCAAATACAGCGCCAAGAACCCAAAGCCCGCGAACGCCGCGCACGAATGCCCGCTCGGAAAGGACATTTGCGCTTCCCTGACCTTATTCGCGTCGCCCCTGCAGACCTGGCTGGCCGTGTAAAAGTGCAAGTCGCCGTCTCGCAGCGTCGATAAACCAGGCAAGGAGGGCGGAATGCGCGGGTTGCAGATGGTGAGGAAGTGCGGACGTAAGCCGCCGATGAAGATCTTGATGAAGGATTGGAAGAGCGTTGCTGTAGAGAGGGCGTAGCCTAGGCCGATGAGCTGTGTGGCATATCAGTCACAGCCTACCATGCAATGAAAGGGACGGAGATTGTACAGCAGCATTCCCGTCCCCAAACCCTCGTGTGCCCCATAGCGCAATCGCGCCCATGATGGCCGCCGGCACTGCGAAACTTATGATCGCGCTCGTGATCGTGCTCACGTACTCGGAAAGATATGGCTGGCTGTGCTTCATGCCCCAGCTCGTTCTCTCGACACCACGAAAGAGCGGGAAGTAGCGTGGCAGTATCGGTTGGCAGAAGGCGTAGAGCAGTAGGGATGTGAGCAGGCAGAGAAGCTGCGTGCCAATATCGTACCAATTGTGGCGCAGGAAAGTGAGGAAGAGTGGGGGGTTGTGGAAGCCAGGGAGCCAATGATTATAATGGGAGGGATTGGGGTTGGCGGATTCGAGATCGTGTTTGAGGCTGGAAGGCGAGGTTGAGCGATTTGAGGTGGACTGTGGTTGACGGGAGGTTACGTGAGCCAGTTCAGCGGAAGATGCAGCTGGTTTGGCAGCATCGCTGGTGGAAGGCATGCTGGGCTAGTAATGTGGGCGATGATGCTGAACGCTTGGTGAGAGCAGACTTCGGTCGGGATGAATGTCCGCATCTATCGGACGATAGGATGTGGCAGCAACTTCTACATCCATGGCACATGTGGCTATACTGCTCGTTTGCATGCTCTTCCAGTAGTCGCTGCCATAAGCAAACTGCCCTTGCGGAGACGAGCTTGCCGCATTCGACGATCATGTCGGGTGGGAAAATCAGTCCTCCCAAAATCGATGTGAGAGCCAGTGATGCAGGTACATACAATTCATCTGCAACCCTACCAACTAGAACCCGAAAACATTCTCATCTTCCTTGAACCCCCAATCCCTTAACGCGGGAAGCGCCGACTTCTGAATCATAGCCGGCGGCCCACACAAAAATACTCCCGTTTTCTCACCCGGCTCAAACAAGCTTTCCTTGATGATATCCTCATTTACATGTCCCTTCGTGCCCTTCCACTCATTGCTCGGATGACTCAAGACATGCGTGATCTTCAATCTTCCATCGCTGTCTTTCTCAAACTTGTCCAGCTCATCCTTGAGCAAGATGTCCTTCTCACTTTTATTCGCATCAACGACGCGAATTTCAGTTTCATCGTCTGAGGAGAGTAGAGCCCGTGCTATTAGCGAGTAGCCTGGTGTGATACCGCTACCTCCTAGGATGAGATTGATTTTGTTAAACTTATACTCCTTCCCAGATATTTTGAACGATCCATTTCCGTTGTAAACTATTTCTCCAGTCGGCCCGCGGATCTCTATCTCTTCGCCGATGGGCATACAATCGAGGATGTTAGACATTGCGCCGCCTGGTTGGGCGTCGGTCGGGAAGTATGTCTTTACGGTAAGTTCGAATGTTCCGGAGCCATCATGTGTGCCATGATCATCCGCATTGGTTGTCTGGTTTGATGAGTCTGGCAGGAGAGGTTTTGTGGGCGTGTACGATCGGATGAGCATGCGATCTTGGAGATGGAAACCGAGTTGGACGTGCTGGCATGTCCCGAGACCGAGATCTGGTTTGCCATCTGGTAGCTCGAAGGTGTATGCGCGCGTGTCATCTGAGAGCGGCTTTCGATCGATGAGTTTTACTGGAACCCATCGGTGCGTTTGCAGCACAATCTTCCCTGAGTCGTTGGATGATTCTGCCTGCTCTTTTGCGGCTGCTTCGGCCTGTGTCTTGATGAAAGCGGCGGCTTTATCGGTCACTGTACCCAGGATGCACTCTGCGAGACCAACAGATTAGTATAATTGATAGACAAGTGGCGAGGCTAAATTAAACTTACCTTTTAGCTTCTGATACGCATACCCATCATGTATACTCTCAAACTCACTGCTAGTCTCTGCATGCACCTTACCGGCATGACCAAGCACTGCAGCCTTACCACCTGGATGCCACTCCAAAACACTTGTCGCATCATAAACTTTCCCATCCACAACAATCCAGCAGTCGTCTTCCTTGTCGTGCTTTTCAATTTCTTGACGCGTGAACTGCTTCTGTGGCGCCCCAGCATCTTGCTTCGCACTCGCAATCTGATTCTCCACACTGGGTTTCATCCATCCGCCGTCCGCTGTACCAGGCTCTACGGGGTGTCGGAACAGGATTGAGGGTGTGTCCGCATCTGAGTCCTGTATGATTTCTGGTCTCACGATGTACCAGCAGTTATTCATCATACCCATGACGTTCCCTGAGCATGAAGTCAGTGGATGTCTCACATGCAATTCGTATATATACTGCACGTACAGTTTGGCTCTTTTGGCTGCGTGTTCTTGAACACGTTGAAGCAGCGCACAGTGATGGTCTTCGCTCGCAATAGATGCGAGATCTCAATATCCACATGCCAGTGTAGCCATGTCCAAAACTTGTTGCCGTGGCGGATTGGTGCATCTGGGAACTTGCGGATACAGTAAAGCCAAGTGTCGCCGTCATCCAGGGAGACTTCCACGCGCTGGACTTCATGACCTCCCCCGTCGTATGCGTACCCTTCGATGCGATAGGTTTCCCCCTTCCTGGCGGATGACAGAGGTATCTTTTCGCCTTGCGCTGGCTTGACAATGACTGAGTTCAGATTCTGCTCATTGCATGCTGTGTCGGGGTGTCTGAACAGTGCTTCTGCGAACTCGCCATCCTTCTCCGTTACGAAAGCGGGTAACACTCGATTGTCCCAAATGTGATAATGCGAGTCATTTTCCTTTTCCGATATCCAGATGCGCTTGAGCCACTTTACGCAGCGCCCGCCAACATAGCCGGGAATCATGAGACGAACCGGATAGCCATGGTCGGGTGGTAGTGGTACGTCGTTCATCTCATAAGCCAATATGACATCGTTTGTCGCGTCCATCGCATAGTCAAATGGCAAGCAAGTTGCGTATTTGCCCTCGCTGGGCTCATCTGCGCCTTCGAAATTGACCCAGTAGCGTTTGCCTCGCGGCATAGTGTGTGGTATTCCGGCTTTCAGGAGGACGTCTCGCAATAGTGGTCCTTTCCAATATGCGCATGATATAGCGCCCGAGCCCCAGCTGAAGCCCTTTGACTTCTTGATCATGTTGAGCTCTTTGCGACGATTGCCATCACATGCCAACGCTACCGCAATGTTGATTGGCTCAAAGTTGTTCTTCAAGTCCTCCATTGACAAGACGAGCTTGCCATCCTCAATGTCTAGCTCGTGAAACTCCCAAAGAATTCTGGGGACCGCGCCATGGTTTCTGACGTAGTGAAGCTCATTCGGTGTAATCAACCCAGCGTCGAACAGTGGTGACAACCGCGCTTCGGCATTGAGTGGATGCTTACCCGTCAGTCTGATCAGATCTGAAGAGCGTGGTAGCCAGTTGTCAGGAGAGAATTGGTCAGCTTCGTCGATGGAGATGGTGCTGCGATTGTGTGTCTGTGGGCTTTTTCTCTTGCCATCGTTTTGCTCCAGATTATGGATATAGTCCTTCTCATGCTGCAATGCCTTCAAGAGAGCTATTTCTTGGGGCGTATATCGCTCGAGTAACTTCTCATACCCAGTCTTTTGCTTGTCAGACTCCTCACTTGAATATCCGGAGTCATCCGCGTTCCCTGAGTACGCATCGTGATGCTTGCTACCCTCACCATTCTCTCGTTTCCATTTTTCTTCGTCTAGATGCCCATCGTCTTGCTTTGAGGTACTAGAGTCAGCTCCTTTCTCATCATCTTCCTTTTTCTTAGCTTCTTCCTCTTTCTTCCGCTTTTGAATGTTAGCTGGCCAATCTTCCTTATTCTTGACCCAATCCTCCGTGCATTGCAGAACGAACCGCCACCCAAGACTTCGATTTTCCGGGTGCCGAAGATGTAAGTCGTTCTCGTTCAGTACAATATCGCGGAAGTTGATAAGATCTCCATGCTTAGCCTCCTTTATCAGCTTCTCGTACCCCTCTCGGGCTTGCTCGACATCGTCAATTTGGGTGTGTTCATCCCGCTCGTGCGTGACACCAGGTAGCCGATCGTAGCGGTTTTTGTACCCAATACGATGCTCATGTCGATGCTCGGCGTTCCAGTCGGGCTCTTGTTCGATCTCATCCCTTGTAGAGCCGGGATGGCTTGTCGTCTGTACTCGCCATGGTATCGGAGGCATGGTGTGTTGGATCAAATGCGAGTAATGATATCAAGCACGATTGACTGCCACTGTATCTTGAACTGGAGGGGTACAGTCCCACCTCGTACCGTTATCAGTCCAGCTGCTGAATAGCTCCTTGTCGAATATGCCGATCAAAAATATCTGGGCAATAGGATGTATCTCGTACCTATGTAGTAGTATATTGGGACGACAGGTTGTTTTTAAGGTGTCGTTCGTCTCGCGCAAACATCTAGCATCACGAAGCTGCCCGCGAAGCTTATTTCGTCATCTATTACATTCCATTTGCATCATAGCATCTAGTGTTCCGGACTTCGCTGGTTGGTCCCTCGATCAGCCACACTAACCGCTAGGCGGGGACCATTTGTCAATAGATCTGGATCTCCGCGGTAGCATCGGAACACTCGTGTGTACACGCTATAAGATTTGGGGACAACACCGTTAGATGGAGTATCGACCTTTTAATCTACTTGCAAATGAGCCACTGCTGTGTCTGTGATGAGAATTGGCCGACGTGCGATTCTGGAGCAGCTTCCTCACGCACTGGGAGACGCTAGCCGCATGCGTCTCGACATGATGTACCCAATCTACATGGATGTTCAGACAACAGCGAGGTAAATAATAACATTTGTGAACGTGTAGAGCAATTAACCACTGAACCCCTTCATCGCGCTAACAACCATCCTCGCAACCTCCTCCCAACATCTACCCTCGTAAATCCTCACAGGAACATACGCACTCGTATGCGTCGAAAATGTCTCAAACCCCCAACTCATCCTCCTACTAAACCTTTGGCTAGCTCTGCTCTCATCCCACTCGGCACCACTGAGTCGATTCTGCGCAACGCTGACACTTGCTCGCCTCCTCCCATTGAAGCTCTGCACACTAATACGCTTGCCAGATTGACTGACAACACTCGCACGCTTATCGTGGCGATCGCAAAGAACGCTGTAGTGACTTGTACGATTAGCTTCTCTGTCGTACTTGGAATCGCGATCGCTGAGCACACTATAGTGACTCGCACGATTGACCTCCTGCGCCGTTGACGGCGTGCTACTCGCGAACGAAAGCGGACGCGACATGATCGGATCGTAATGACCGTCTGCGTTCGCATTGAGGATTTGCAGGAAGCTCATGCGTCGGCCGAAGCGCGTTGGCGATGTCGGTGTGACGGGCCAGAGATGCTCGGAGAGTGTGTCGTCTTCGTCGGAGTCTTCGCAGAGAGAAGGCGCGGCGGGGACGTCTTCGATGAGCGTACTGGGAGCGGAGATGGAGTGAGTGTCTTCGATGTTGGATTCTTTGTAGGCAGAGATGATTATATTGGTTGGGCGGTGTGTGGGGGGTTCTATGCGTGGGGATATAGTGCTGGCGAAGGGGGGAGGTGGTAAGGGCTTGGAATTGACATTGTCTTGGTTCACCAACACTGGCGTTGAGATTTTCAGGCCCTTGAGTGGAAGATAGATTTCTGGGGCTTCGTTCTTGCGTTGTTCTTGCTGCCGAGATTTGAGCTTCGAGATGCGGCGCAGACCGCGGACGCGACTGCGTAGCCAGATGCGAAAGCGTGCCATGTTGATTCCCGCGTTACAGATGAGAAGTTAAATATGCTACGAAAAGTCTCATCAATGAAGTTCTCTCGTCGTTGTTCAAGTATAGCCTACCTTCAATGTATCACATGTCCCTCCTCCTCCGCTTGTCGTATTGTCGCTTCCCAAGAAGTTGCAAATAGAAAAGGACTCATATTCACAAAGATGGGACGCACCCGGCTTTCTATAAGAAAGCTCCAGCTTCTCGTGATGCGTCGATCCAGTTCCATGATCGACCTGTGGTAGTGTTTGCAAGTCCGAAGGCGTACTTCGTGCATCCCCGAACCTCGCTTGCACGCATCCGCCAATCATCGTGCATCTCACCTCAGCCAAAGGCTGAGCGCATCCTGGTCGATGTACAAGTTGTTAACCGTTTTGGTGTGCCTGCGAGTAGTAGGACAAAGCGATAACGTGCACGTATCACACATGTGACGGAAGGTTTGGTGAACTTTATATATATATTTTTTAAATGAGCCTCGATCCATCAGAGGACCATTGCTTGCAAGTGGTATCCAACTACGTTAAGATGCAAAATAAAAATATGCAGGACGAATGCGGACGCTGACTTGTAGCGCATGATGCTGGAGCTCCTAGGCTCTGTCTGAGACCTCCCAAGTTTCTATGATGCGCTCATAGCTCATCACCGTCGACGTAATTGGCAGCAGTCTCCTCCATGGTCATGCGCTTCTTGGCGAAGAGGGCGTCGTTATCTTTGATCTCGCTTGGTCGAACGTCCCGTTCACACACACGCTTGTTGCTGTATGTGCTCTCGTCCTCGTCTGCAATATGCTTGCCCAGACCTTTGCCCAGGCCAGCTGGAAGGGGACGGAACGGGGAGTCTCCAAGGTCTGCCAGGCGGAAGTTGACGAAACGCTTGTTCGCCTCAGTGTATTTGATGTTGTAGAAGAGATCAAGTAGTCCAAGGCCACCCTTCACGACGTGGCTTTTCCCTGTGAACGATTCGGAAAGGCCACGCTTCTCGCCACGGGTGTCTACGGTAATCGGCTCGCGAACAGTCTCGAGCTTGCGCTTCTGCTTCTTGGTGTTCTTGGTGACAGGTCGAGGGCTGTCTTCGTCTACCAAGGTCTCGTCGTCCGACCAGTCCTCCTCAGCGGCAGTGCGCTTCACTCCGCGGGTTGAGATGGTGATGGGCTCAGAGTGAATCTCCAGCTTCTGCTTCTGCTTCTTGTTCACCGGATCGGCAACCGCAGTAACTGCTGGAGATTCTGGGACCTTCGGAGTGGACGGAGATGCCTCTTCGTTCTGCTCGTCGGCAAAGGCCTTACGCTTATCGTGTGTGTTGAGTGGGCCGATATCGATAGCGACTTTGCGTACGCGAGTAATCTGCTGAATAGTCTCGCGGTGCTCTTCATAGATCTCTGCCAGGTTCTTCGGCTCTTCGACTGCGTCTGGCACGATCTGGCATGTACGCCCAAACTTCGGATCCGCGATGCTCATCAAGGTCTGTGCGATGTTGCCTTTGGCGGTAGGCAGATACTTCAACACACACTCTACTGCGAGTGAGACGCCAAGGGCGACGTTGAGCGACACGTAGAACTCCATGTTCGCCTTCTCTGCTGGGGTGACCTTGGTCGCGATGACGTTGTTCACAGTATCGCGGCACTGTGGGCAGTTAAAAGGCTCTTCCTTGTGCAAGCCAGCCTTGCAGTTCGCTCCACAAGTGGTATCGCCCGTGTTGGAAACGATTTCATGGCCACAAATGAGCCAGTGGCCACCTCCAGTTCCGCAAGAACAGTAGTCCTCGACTGTGGATGCAAAAATGCGAGCACCAGCGACGGTACCCAGGTACCCCTTGGGCTTGGTGTCTCCAGGGCCGTCAAACTTCTCGATGACGATATGGGCACCGAGGTTTGAGAGGGTGTGATTGCCGGAACGCTTCTGGATACGACCTCCCTGTGGCCTTGTGCTCAGCTTGGGTCGACCGGCACTAGCAGTATGGGCGCTAGAGGTGCCACCTTGTTCTTGATGTGCAGGGGCCGAGCGTAGGGGGTCATCTGCACTGCTGGCATTGTGCGATACAGGCTCCGAAATGTCTGGAGGCAGCTTGGGCAACCTAGGGTAGAGGCCGGTTGCGCTACCGGGCTCGGCGATGGTGGCGGATGCTCCAGCGGCGGGTGTAGTAGGTCCATTAGAAGATGGTGTGTCAGCCAGAGAGTGACCATCCGCAACAGATGCAGCAGCGAGAGTGGGTGTGCTCCAGACTAGACGTCGGCGTATGAAGTTAGCGTATGCTTGATATGTAGTTCTTACATTTCATTACGCACAGTAACGCTTGAGATAGCGGATAGTGTTCATCTTCGCTATGTGGGCGGTGGATGAAGTGGGAGGTAGAACGGAAGAGCTTGAGGTGGTCGGAAGGATGCTGGTTGAGGCGTGGGTTGTAGTCTCGTGGGATGGTGAATTGGACTGTGGTAGAACACTGTGGGGCTGCGGATGAGCTGTCGTGGAGCAGTGCTGATCGCAGGCTAGCTGTATTTACGGGAGAAGGCGAGCTAAGCTAAGCAGCCAGCTGATAGACAAGAGGCTGGCGTGAGCGGAGGCGCGGCGGACGATAAGGCGAGAGGCAGAGGCGTCGACTCAAGAAGAACGACGATAGGTGGCAACCTCCTTGGCGCGTCGGCCCTTGCTGGCTAGCGCGATGTGTGAAAGTGAAAGGCCATTGCACGTGCCGGTAGTCCGCATGACATCAAAGGTGGCAATCATCCAAGTCCAGCGATGTTCAGTTTCCTATTTTTATTCGTTTTGTTGTATATATGATCCAGAACGTCCGGCCAATTTTTAAGCGTAGCAGCGGTCCCATAGCCCTCCTTGTTTTGCAAAACTTTGGCTTTCCACAAACTTGCTCAACTTGCACCGACCATGTTTGTCACCCCCACAGAACTTCAAAGGCTGTACGCGGTCATTCACGATGACTCGAACCATTTCCTCTTTTTTGTGCTTGCATTGAAGCTTCTCAACGTACATCCGTGATGCGAAAGGGACCGTCCATGCTGCAGAATATCCGTGAGTGTCCTTGGTCGATTCTATGGTGGTATTTGAAAGAGGCTTCGTTTCATTGTACAGGCCAAGAGCTGCAAGCACTCCGCTGATGTCGTTGTCATGGCTAAAGTCCGCGTAGACTTTCCGACCCAGTGGAAAAGAGCTCGGATCCGAATTGAGGGTAGTGTTAGTGTTGGTATGGTCTTCCACGGGTTGCCCAGTCAGACGCGCAATTAGCTCGTTCACGTAGCCCACACCTTGAGTTGGAGCAAGCGGGTTGCCAACGCTGTACCCGTAATACTTGCCGAGGGTCTCGAAGTAATCGTATGCATGCCACTCTTTCTCAGTAAAGAGATGGCAAAAGTCAGAGACCTTCGCATTGGGGTGTGCCAGCGTGTCGAATGGGCACATGTCCATCAGGTATATGATTGAGTTCATGCTGAGATTTGTGCCAAGCTGTGAATTGACGCGTTCCTGAATTGGAGGCACGAACTCAGCCGCCCATATCTTCTGCGCCCTGTCACCGAGACCGCGGTCTGGACCATCTTCAAAAGCGGGGCAGGTGTCGTGAGACAGGGTATTGTTCCACTTGGGACCCTCAGGTATGATAAGGTCGATTTCCGCTGGCGACTGCTTCGCAGACTGCGCGAAGCCCTGCAGCCACTTTTGCGCCGATTCGACTACGCGGTGTTGCCCTCCTGAGCGCACAAATGGGGTATGCTTCTTCGCGAGCTTGTGATAGCGGCGGAAGAAGTGCGCGCCTGAGTTGACCATCTCTTGCCGTCCAGCGCTGGTCAATTCGTCCGCTCCGAGGTTGTACTTGTAGTCCTTTAGGAACCCAAACTCGCCAGGGAATGACGTGCTTGTATTCTGAATATCGGCGATCAACAAGGCATACGCCATGGATTTGCCCATGGTTGGGTCGCGACCGCCATGGCGGGAGAGGACGTTCGCGAAGGTGACTTTGCAGCCATGTGGCGGCGCAACGTCGATATCTGAGGGGACGGAGTACCACAGGGAGTACTGTCCCCAGAAGTGTGTCGTCTTCGGGCTGCAGCGGTAGCCGTCGTCGATGGTGTCGCAGGAGTTCTCGGCCGACGCGGAAAGCGAGCTGTACACTTGAATGAGCGCCTGAAGACGATGCAAAGGCCTCAGAGGATATCTCACCTGACCAGTCCATAGAGTGCAGAGCAAGCAGCGATGCTGCACACAACGAGGCCCACGATACTTTGTCGTGACCAGCGGGCTTGTCGCGACCTGACGGAGGGAAGCGGTTCCTTCTCGCTCAGAGGCAAAGGAGCATACTCTGGGGAGCGATTTCCGCGCATTCTATTCCAGGCCTTGACCATCATCACGATCCTCAAATGGTGTTGTGCTTGACTACGGACGTTTAACAGGCTCGACAGGAAGCTTGAAGCCGCGAGTGGACGTGACGTAAGTCTCCGCGCCGAGGTTTGATCGACTAGCCCAAGATTCGAGAACAAGGATTTTGAAGAACAATCTTCAGCGCACCCATAACAGATGCACCGAAGAGGCCCGCCATCTGAGACCATTCTACAGTATCGTGCCCATCATGGTGTTCACTCGGACGAAGTACCGTGGTACGAGGTGGAGCGTCTTCTTTCGGCAATGCCAAGCTTTCTGCGAAGCTTAAGCTGGCCACGAATTTCAGCCTCTCAGAACCGGGAATGGCTAACGCGCATCCTAATAAGGGGCTATTGCGCATCCTAATAAGCTAGTTTTTCCTGTGCGTACGTTAGCAATTATACTACTTATTTTAGTTAAATTACTATAGAGATTTAGCTACTTAGAGATATTAGGCTTGCTATTTCTAGCACTTTATTATCTTAGTTATAATATTACTAGATAATTATAGCTAATGCGTACGCATTATTATTTAAAGTATTTTCTTATTATTTCTCTATTATCTATAAGTACTTTTACTATTAATTCCTTAGTAATAAAATCTGCTCTTAATAATGCTGCATTTACTGCTCTTCTTAAGAATATAATTATCTATAATATTACGCCTAATATTGCTCTTAATATAATAGATAATGCGCGTTTTAAAGCGCTATTTATAGAGAAGAAAGATAAAAATACTAGTATTTTGCTACTTAATATAGAGAAGTTATAAGCATAATTTAATAATAATAATACGCTAGATAAGATTATTAATACTATATAAGAGGTAATAAAGAGAGAGATAAAGAAGCAGTTAGTAGCAATAGATAAGATAAAAAAGTAAGAGAGTAAGAAAATAACTGCGCTGCGTAATTATAGAATAACTAACTACTACTAGTATACTAAAAGGTATTTTATTACTATATTATAGCGTTATAGTTACGCTTTGCCTACCTCTATTATCTATAATAACCTTAACTTAAGTAATCTTTATAGCTATAGTAATAGCCTGCGTCTCTATCTACTTATCTCTAAGAAGAAGTTTAATAGCTTTAAGCTTTATATAAGTTTCTACTAACGCTAAGCGCAGAAGTATAGTATTCTATTTATTTAAATATAGTAGATAAAGAACGTTACTAAGATAAAGTATAAGGCGCTAGTATACTATAGTTAAAGATAAGATTATAAAGAGTTAGTAGTAGATAAGCGCGTTAGAGTAGAAGTAGCTAGCTAGAAAACTTAGTATTCTATAGAGTTTTATATTATAGCGCTAGATAGAGGTAATTCTATAGCTAGTAGATAGAGAATTCTACACTAGAAGAGTAAGAAATATATGCAGAAATCTCTTCTTTATAACTATCTACTAATAAGGTTAATATATGCTAATGCTTAGTACTACTGCAAGAAGTTTACTACTATAGAGATACGCTAAAAGATAGCAGAATTATTTAAGAATTATAAAGGCTTTAAGGTAATAAAACACTAGCTTAGACTGCTATTTCTAGATATAAAACTTTGCTATTCTAACGTTAAGAATATATAGAAGAGATAGTAATAATAGAGCCTTAAGTTCTATATAAAAATAGAGAGGTTAGTATAGAGGTTATATAAGAAAGAATATTTTTTTAAGTAAGTTATCTCTATCTAAAAGTTAAGATTTAGGTCTCTTACTATATAATTACTTATTTTAGGCGTAGCGCTCTTAGTAGAGCTGCTTATTAGCTAATAAGAGAGCTAGAATTCTTAATACTATAGAAAATCTCTATATAATTACTCTAATTAGGCATGCTAAAAAATAAATACTACGCTAAAAAATAAATATTAATAGGCATCTTAAGAATGCTAAAAACTATATAAAATACCTTATTATTATCTATCTACGCTGCCTAGAGCACTTTAAGGCGTTACTAAACGCTCTTCTTCTTAATATTATATATAAAATAAATAAATATAATCTTTCTTTACTTAATATAGTAAGTAGTAATAGAGATAATATTATCTAATATCTTAGCATTACGCTAATAGCTAAGATAGAGTAAGCTAACTTTAAATAAGTTCTTAAGTAGATAAAGGTTACTATTAAGATCTCTATACCTCTATTTATTACTAATAATAATAGCGCTTATATTAATGCTATTAATAGCGTTTTTCTAGCTACAAATATTATCTTATGCTAGTAGCATATAAATAAGTTTGTTATTACGTATAGTAAAATCTAGTACTAGCAGAAGCTTAGCTAAGAGCTTAGTAATAATAGTAGAATATATAATACTACTAAAACTAGAGCCTAGATAAGCTTATTTTAGCGTACTATTTATACTAAAATAATAGAAGATTTTAATGCAAAATGCGCTTAAATTTATAAAACTTTACTTATTATAGGCGCCTATTTAGACGCTAACTAGTTTAACTGCTATAACTTTCTTATTAATGCTATTACTAATAAGTTTTCTTACTTTAGGCTGCTTATTACTAGCAAAGTAGAAGGTACTTATATAGTTTTAAAGGCCTAGTTAGCTACGTTAGGAAAAGTAAAAAGTGTCTAGTTAGTAGTATTGCTGCAATTCGCCGTTAATTTAATAGATATAACGATTCGACAAAGTTGCCCTAGTTACTTTTTTCTAACGTTAGGTTAACGTTAGAACAGTCTAGTTACTATCTTCTACTGTTTAGCACTATATAGCTATATTGCTTAACTGTGCTTAGTTATTAGACTTAGCATACTAAACATTCTATATACTCTATAAAGAGCAGAAGAGGTAGACTACGTTAGTTACGCATATTTTATAAGCAGTCTAAGTCCTCTATGCAAATATAGCTGCAGCTATTAGGCTTACTCTATCTGTAATCTAGTGCTATTAGAGATAGAGTCTCGTATCTGCAACTACGTGCGAGCTAGTTCTGCATAGTTAGCAACTATGCAAGATAGTATCGTTACTCTAGAAACTACAGCAGACTTAATGCATTTTAGAAACATAATTATATAGCTATTAATTGCTAATTTGCTCTGCATTATCTATTTAACTATTACACAGTACTATACAGGTTAGAGCAGTTTATCTCTTCTTTGTATCTTTCTACTAGAGCGTCGCAGTCTTCTAGCTCTAATTCCTATTCGTCTTTTATTAGCGCTAGAGCGTATACAATGCGATTATCTATTATATATTCCTCTACTAATATAGCAAACTTATCTTACGTGCTATCTGTCATAATACTCTAACCTTTCCCTTTATTCTAAAACTATACTTACTCGTCGTCGTTGTGTATTACACTTTCTATAAAGTCGTTAGCTCTATAAAACTCTCTAAGCAATATATCGTATATTTCCTCTAATAATTTGCGCAGTTGCACTCTAGTCTCTTCCTATTATCTATTAGCTTTTACTCTTATATTATATTAGGCATCTTGCCTCTCTCTTATCAGCCTCTATATCTTTCTTATTGCTATAACTAGTTCTGCACTTATCTATAGTAAGGATGTTATCTTCTCGTTTCCCTGCGCAATTATAGTCTTCTATTAATATATTATATTATTGCCGCTTATTATCTGTATATTTTATAAGAATATTATTAACGTCGTTATTATAATAGTTGTCTAGCACAGTAACGTTAGATCTAGAGTTTTTAATATAGTTCGCGTGTATAGCTATTTGTTGTTTTAAAGCGTTCTAAATAAGAAGATAGCGTATCTCGCTTAGCCTTTTCTACTTCTTGCAGATAGCGTTATAATTATCTATACTATATTAGCTATTATTATTTAGTGCTATTATAACATACTCTCTATAGTATAACTGTAGAAATAGATTATCTTCCTCGTTCTGTCGTCGTAGTACTCTTTAATAGCATTATATAATACTATGCTTATAAGCGCTATTATATTAGCGCTTAGAAACTAAAACTTATCCTAGTTCCCTGCTATAGCACTAATACCTTATTTTCTATTATTATAGAACGCTCGCGCTATAATAGCCGCAATTGCACTATTTAGGAACTAGAGCAACGCAGGCTATTACTCTGTAAGCTAATGCTATCGTATTCTAGATTAACTTACATTTCTAGGATTCTAGCGTAGGTAGACAAAATCCTAGAGCAGCTTACTTAGTTTAAGAACTTGTAGTTTAAGATAGTTTAGAGCATATGCAGCTGTAACCTCTATGCATACCTATCTTATTATATGCGTCTGCAAGTTACTGCATATATCTAACATCTAACAAGTACTATTAGCTATAGTTATAGACAGTCTGCGACTATACTTACTTAGCAGGCTGTACTCCTGCAGAGCGTAGTCGCTATAGATAAGCAGACTAGCAGAGGCACTGTTTTCTAAGCCTCTAACTATGTATCTAGCATTAGCTATGCGAATACACTCCTATAAGCGTCTAGCTATAGATTAACAGGTATACTACATAGCGTCGTCCTATTATTTATTAATAACTGTAATAACAATATTACCTAAGCCTTATTAAGTATACTTTTATATTTAGGTTACACTAGTTCTCTTATCTAGCGTTTTTATATTCTCTATAGCATTTAATGAAACAGGTCTGCTAGATAAGATAGTAGAAGAAAGGCTTATGCATATAAGTTAATGTAAACTACTTTAGTAATTATAGTATCTTTGCTTATATTGCACAGAACGCAGTGCGTTCTTCTATGTTTAAGAGGTATGCTGCGTAGCAGCAGTGTTCTATTTTAGTTTATATTAACTAATTATTTTTATTCTAGCTTAATGTCTAGTCTCTATAGATTAACTAGTGCGCGAGAGTATAGGCGTCCCTTTATTAGAACTAGCATATCTTCTAGGTTCGTAGGTTTAAGACTATGTAGAAGTTACTAAGTCTTATAAGTTTAATTATAGTATAGTCTCTCGTAATAAAGATAGTAGAGTTGCGCTTTGCATAGTTCTTAATTTCTACGATTCTTAGTCTTGCTATTAGTGTTAGTGT